TAAGCGATTAATTTTGTATTGCCAGAGCGACAAAAGAGATGCTGAGCCAAAGGAACAACAACAAAGGGCTGATTTATTTTTGGCTCGGAAAGAATGGAATGAGGCCCTCAAATTAATTCGCAGAAACAAGAACAAATTTTGAAGATTAATAAAATTATATTATAATAACCATAAATAATATTTGAGACCTTCATTTAGGCAAATTTAAAAGTAAAAAAGATTTTCAATTTATTTCAATGAAGGTCTGTAAAAAATAAGATGTTTCATAAAAACCGAAAAATTAAATATCTTTAGAAAAGCACAATGATTAATAAATATGTAATTCAAATACAAAATTTACAAAAATTGAACCGTTAATTTTCAACCTTTTACTAAAAAATTAACTATCATTATTGACACTTGTCTATACAACAATAAGTAGCAAATTTTTGCTACCATTAGAATTCACATTAACTTATTCAATCACTATTTTTTTAGGTTTGAATTTAGTCATGGGATTATAGGAAATCATTTTTAAAGTGAAGATATATGTATTTGTATAATTTTTTTCTAAAATTATCAAATTAACTTTCAATATTAGTTTTTTTTTTCAAAATAAGTTTTTTATAGTTTGACAGATTTTTACTCGTAAAACGCCAACAAATCTTGGTATGTGTGTGCTTTTTCTGTTGATAATTGATTTGTCCAGCTTGTCGAGAATAAAGGCAAATTGTTTGGCAACATAAAAAGCTTTTCAAATAAATTTCAAGTTTATGTTGGCGGCTGCTTTATTCCATAATTAGACATGGTCACAAGGAGGTGGCGGCGGTCCTTCAGAAAGAGAGAAATCATACTTTTGGCCTTCTGTTGCGACAAAAGAGAGCAAAACGCTCGCTGTGGTCCTTTTGTCTTGGGATGAAAGGGCGCTCGCAATTGGGTGGCATCTTGCACACTGTGAATGAGTAAAAAGCCTAAAAAAGGAAGCGTCGCTTCCTGGTGGCCTGCGTTTGTGTTTGATGTACGTGAGAGAAAACCACCCTCATATTATGTCAATTAGGGATGGTCTCGGGCCACCAGCAACAAACGCCGCTAAATAGGCACAGTTTGACACCTATAGTTCTATGGCGCAAACGGAAGAAATGAAGTTTAAGGACTCCTTATTTACATAGTCAAATCAAGTCTTAACAACAATGATGATTAAATTTTCCAATTATTGGTAAAAATGTTTCCTATTGTTGAAAAGACTTGATTTGACTATGTCAATAAGGAGGCTTTAACAATAAAAATCTTCTTTGCACCAATTCTTTCAATAAAGGTGCTGAAAAACAATTGTAAAAGATCGAAACGTAATATTGCTATCTAAATTTTCACTTTTTTGTTCTTATAATATCTGCTATATAATTTTGGGATTAAAAATTTCTTAAAGATATTTCAAGAGTCGTTTTTTTTTTTAAATCAGGGAAAATGTTTAGTGAAATACTTTAAATTTCTTGAAGAAGGATTTTAGTTTTAGCCATTGTTATTGATTGAAATTCGTTAATAGTGATATTAATAGAGTTATTTTTGGCAGGAAATTTTTTTTTATTAATTTAAGGGCCAACAAGAATCAAATTTTACATCATTGGTTTCAAAACTCTATAGATAAATTACATCAATAATCCAGTTAATAAAAGTGCAACCTTTATTTTAGTAATAATATTAATAATTAAATTTTTAATTAAAAAAAATATTCTTGAAAGTGCTTATAACTTTCATTAAATTTTTGTAAAAAAATCCCTAATTCCATAATTTTTTTCAAAATATGGGTCTTAAAAGTAGACTAAAAAAATAGATTGTTGTACCAGTCCATAGATTAATTATAAAATCAATCGAGGGATGAAATTTATACATAATAATTTGACATTCAACACTGTATTGTTTTAGGATTAAGATCATCAAAATGTAATTTAATAATATTTTCTATTATTATGTTAACGAGCCACATTTTGAATAAGTTACACAAGAATTTCTGAATTTGCTGGTTTAAAAACGTTAAAAATAATTTCCATAATTTATAACCAATGTGCGGACTTGTTATTTTTGAATAAATGCACATTTAAATGAATTATTCGGAGTTCATCTTATTTAGTAATCAAATAAATAAATTTATAGGATATGCCAAGAATTTTTTTCCTATTTTTACGTTTCGGTTTGCTGATTTCTCTCGCAATTTTTTGCTGTAAATCAAATAAAAGTATATTACAGGACCAATTAAATTATTCACATCTCTCAATTTAATTAAAAAATCGTGCAAATATCTGCGAATCAAAGCTAAACAGTTCGATAAGGGTAATAAAAGCAGAGCTCATCTCCACGCATATCCATTAGAAATTTCGCTTCACATGTATCCGGGACAGCGAAAAAACAGGGGAAAATAAAAAATAAAAACAAAGTTCCGAGCGAGTAAAAAGAATAATTAGAATAAACATCGTATAAATTCCTTTGAGCTTGGTGGTCGATAAAAAATGTTGGTGATTTTTCTCTAATGTTGTCGAATTAATGGAGGCGAATTGAGATCGCGTGATTTTGGACACGGGAAAACAAGAAGTGAATTTGCATGGGAGCGTGTTTATTGAAGGCGAAGCAGAGCAGGAGGCCCAACGCTGCTGCTGACGGTGATTATTTATATTATTATAATGTATTTATTGCAGTCGCAAATACAACTCTGGCCGATCGCCGCCTCGAGTTTGTTGATTGCTCAATGATTTGGCCGCCGCGCGCGCGTTTGGCACGCAACTTTAGCAGCGCTCTCGAAAGACACTCATTTTTTTTGGCAAATGAGAGAATATTATAGATACACTGTTGTAAAATTTCACACCGAGAGGGAACAGACGAAAGCAGGTTCACCTTAATCGACTCGTACATTAGTTTCAGTGCGTGATTTCCATCTTTTCTGGACCAACAACTCCTCTAAAGAGCAGGAAAATGATTTTGAAAATTAATTCAATGCGGCCATAGGAGGCTATGAATTCGAAAATTAATAGAGAACAGAAGTTTAAAGAAAGAGTCAATCATTAGTAGCTTTAAAATTTTATTACTTTTTTAAGAAAATATTAAATATATAAAAATAAAGCATTATACATTTATGATTTATGTTAATTATTATGAATCAGATTGTATTATCTTACAAGTAAGTTGTTATTATTTATAATTCAGTTTTTTTTTGTTATAATTATAAAAATATAAAATACAAAGCTTCGGCGTCCTCTTTATTACCTTTTTTCCAAAATATTTATTTAATTAATTCAAATTTTTATTGATAAGATTAACTGTACTGTAATAATTTTTAATCCAAATTCCAACTTATTTATAAAAAAAATGAAATTTTTGTAACAAATAAAAGGTAAAGCTACACTAGATAAAGATAAAACTTGAAACTTCAATTTCATTAATTTTAATTTTAGGTATATTTTATATGTATAGCTTATAGATCAATACACGACGTTGTACACATTTGTGTTTAATAAAGACAATAATAATAAAAAATAAAAATGAATGGCAAAAGAATAAAGCTGATAAGATCGTCGCACATTCTCTTTTACACAGAAAGGCGCCAAATCGACACCTGAAGAGAAGCCAATTAACATTAACATCAGAGTGTAAAAGTAATTGCCACCCATTCTCGCGTAATTGTCGCATGATTTGGTTTTTGCTCTTGTTATATTATTTGTTTGAAAAGAAATCGCCGCCCGCAGCCGATCGTGACAATTCACAAACGTGCCTGCCCGAGGCTTGTGTGTCTTTTACTTTGACCCGCTTCTAATCACCGCGCGTTCACGCATTTTTATGCAAATTCACGCTTTTCGCAAGTGCGTGATTTAGCAGCACTCGTTTTCCTTTTCGACTGTTTAAAATTTTTCACTGTAATACAATGGGATTAATTACTCATTATTTTTTTTTTTTTTTGTAAAATAAATCGCCATAGACAGACAGCCAATTTGTTATGTAAAACATCTCAATTTTGAGGTTTTTATAATTTTTATATAATATCTTTTTTAAATGTTAAACCTATAGAAATTAATTTCTCTTGCAAAAGCTGGGCGTTATAAATTTTAAATTAAATACTATGTCCAGTTATCAGTATAGCCGCCCTTAATCAAATTTTTTCTTCAATTTTTCATAACACCTGTTTAATTTTCTGCTGAATTACAGAGAAATGAACATTTTCGTCTATATCTTTCCGTTTTCATAATTAAACTCAGTGCAAAGAAAATAATAATAACTGCACACGCCTTCCTTGTTTTCCCTGAAGGGAACATGTGTGCATAAGTAAATAATTTGTTTATTGACATATCACGTTCTTGAAGTGCAAGTTGTTCAATACTGGAATTTCAATTGTTTCTCTTATGCAAATGGAAATCACAATTTAATGACGCTGCGTGTTCGAACTGTATAGTTTAAAAAATAAATTAAAGTGCGCAGGGAAAAAAAGGAAAATTTAATCCAATTTTTAAATTATGCATCTCGCCCGGCATATTCATTGTGAAATCAACACAATCATTGCTATAATGACCAAAGTAAACGGAGCAAATAAACCATTTAAATATTATGGTAGAAGCCGGCATAAAAATTTTCAAATTATTAACAGGTATGAACTGGTGTGAATTATTAATTTAATTCTTATTAAATTAAAATCCAGAATACAAATTTATACTCCCATTCTATGAAATTTCCGAAATTTCTTGTAGACATGAAATTAAATAATAAGTTCATTTTACATGCTTTCTTTCTTGAAATCGAAAAAATTAGTTGTATTTTAAATGAAATTGTAATTTATATTTCGCACCACAAAGTAGTGTTAATTTTTTCCTCATAGTCGCATTGATTTCAACTTGATTGCGATTGCTCGTATTGAGTTTATATGTACGTCATGAGTAAAAGAAAAATACATAATACAAACGATCCTTCTACACTTTACATTTTACAACAGTGAAACGCCAATAAATACAATATTATCCAAAGAAAGAGTCGGAAAGAGTTACCTTCATCTTCAGTTGGTTGGGTTTTGCGTTTGTTTACAAAATATATCAGAAAAGTAGACTTTTCGTGAGACTTTTATGTTAACATGTGAAGAAGATGCGATTTGTTGTAATTATGCGCATCTCCTACGCATCCATGCATCATTCAGATTGGGAGCCATCTGTTGGGCGTAACGGAAAATATTAAGAACATACAGCGCGATTTTCTTGTTGTCGCAAAAGGTAAATTCGCCAGGAAGATTTCTGTGCATATTTAAGGTAATTTCATGTTTCACGGGCATTTCAGGCTCTTTATGGCTACTCCCATCGTGTGGTTAAATTATTAATATGTTTTTTCCAATAAATTTGGTTAATTTCTGGCCATTTCCCATCAGGAATACCATAAATTTAAATCCTCAAAGTGGAAGAGAATTTGATTTTTTTTTATTTTGAATTTTCATGCAGGAGTTTTCATCGCAACAATAATTTACAGGACATTTCTGTGGTTGTACGGAGGAAGCAAAGGGGGACATTCAGCTCTGGTGACCATCCTCCAGCAAAAGGGGGACAAAGCAACCTCGTGGATCTGGTGTCCATCCCTCCATTTCCATCACACGACGACAGTCTCAAGACCCTTGAGACAGAGACAGCAAAGTCTGCAGCTTTGGAGTTCCAAGGTGAAAGGTAATTATTTTTACTGTTCTCTGTACTGATGAGCATTTTTTATAAATGAATTTTCATTTTAATATTTCCATATGTATAGAATCCTTGAAGTGGAACAAAATTTGAATGATTTTTTTTTTAGTTTTCATGCAAAAATTTATATTGAAACTATAATTCACATGGTAATAGGTAACCTGTGTGAAACCGACCAAAAATAAATTTGATACAAGGTTAAAATAATATACAATTTCCTCATCAAAATTGGTGAAATTGGGAATTTGAAATATTTTAAAACTTGAATTATTACGTCAGCTGAAAGAATTGTGTTTAATTATTTATAAACTTAATAAAAGTACCAATCAATTAGCAATAGATTTGCATAACTTATAAATATAATTCTACAAAAAATTTTTCTACAAAATTTTTAATCTTAAATTTATTATAATTTATGTCCAAATTCGAATTGTGCTTATTTATGCAGAACAAAAAAAAAATGTGGCTCATAGGTGCGATAAAAAAAATCAGAATTAGGCTCCAGTAAACAATTTAATTATCGACTATACACACAAATCGTCGGCAACAATACGAATTTTGTAAAAAAAGCCTAATATTATGATTTGTTAATCAAATCAAAAAATTTACAATATTGATTGTCAAGGCGTTTTTTAACAAGATTGATATTTTCATTCGATTGGCAATCTCAGAGAATAACGTAAGATTGATGTTGTAAGAGTGCAGTCTAAGACGAAATGTGAGGGCGATTCTCTGTAGTGGTTGATCAAATGCTGCCAGTTGGAGTGGCTATGGGTGGTGTTCGACAAGCAACAGGTCAGAGGTGAGATTTGAACTGGCTGCTTGACCGTAGCAATGCCAGGGACTTCGCTCTTGCTGCGGCCATGGACTCGTGAACAGGTCCGTCCAAGGTTGACTGCCCAGTCATCTTCTTGTGCGCAGTTAAGGGTGTATTTATGCCTAAAAGATGGAAAATTAAATACTTAATAATTGCGACAACTAATTTAACCTAAAGTTGCAACAATTCTTTTGGACAACTCAAGGGAAATTGGTTCCAGGGACATATTGCACAGCTTTTTATTTTTTTATGAACAACAAGAAGAATAAAAATAATAATAACTGATGAACTAAGAACTAATCTCGGTAGTGAAAAAAGTGTCAAACTTTTAGTACAAAAAGGAAGAAAAAGAGTGCATTTTTATCAGTATTTAAAAGCTACCAAAGCAGCTAGATCTGCATTAAGTAAAACATATTCACACGGGAAACATTTTGTGAACTTCCTTGGAAAATTAGTCCTTTAGAAAAAAATAATAATGCGTAAAGATATTTGGTTCTATTAAATTCATCTCTATTGCAATTATCAAGAAGGCCTATTTTTAAATTTTGCTTAAAAGCTTCTGTGGTTGATATGATATTTTTTTTACATCAACTTCAAAGGGAAACGTGGAGTTTTTTGCAATTAAATGATCCAGCTGGTGAGAGTTAGTTTGGAATAATTCCTGACAATTTAAATTTCAAGGGGCTGCATTAATTACTCCCGGCTCTGTGTCTCCTAGGGGTTTGAATTCAAATTTTCATTTATTGGGCAAGTGGGATGTTCTTCTGGGATGTTTTTGGTCCAGGATTAAATTGTGATAATGCTAAACTGAGTTGGAAAATTACATCATTGATTTCTCAAATGGTTTTTATTATGAAAATCCACATTCTGCAGCACTTTGGCATACTCCAATTCAAATTTTAATTTAAAGTTTTTCGAATTTCTTTTGCAAAAATTAATTCCTTAATGTTGTAAACAAATTAAAACAGCAAGAAATATTTAAAGCCAGTCGCATCTAGTCCTCACATTTTTTTTTAAATCGTTGCAAGACACTTGCAAATTTTAATCACCATTATTATAAAGACTTGATTTGACTATGCCAATAAGAGTCCTTAATTCAAAGTTGAAAAGGGAAAAATGCAATCGATACTTGAGTCAAATTAAGAGACTTTGCAAATATCTTTAGAATGCCAATTTCTCACCTGCAAGACAGTGCCGACCTTGCTTTTGGACATGTCGAGCGCCATCACATTGACCATGTTCAGCAGACTGGTTAGTCTCGCCTCATCATAATTCTTTCAGTTATGAACTTGTAAGAAAACCTGCAAAAAGCGTGAAATTAGAAATAATATAAACGCCTGCAAGAGTTGGAGGAGGGCAGCCTGCTTATCTTAAGTGACGCAAGCGTTGCACACTTTGAAGCAGGGGCTCGAGAGTGCAGGCAAAATGCAATTCAAATCGGGTTACTTATGTATTATTTTCTTAAAAGTTATTCTGGAAAATGTTTGATATTTTTCCAAGTTTGAGAGAAAATTCAGCTTGTATAGTTTTTGTGTGTGATATTGTTCCTCTCATGCTCTCATATATAGCCGTGCGGCCCAAAAGCATGCTGGGCAAAAATTTCTGGCGCAACAAAATTATCACGAGCGTGAATGCCAAGAAATATCAGAGGAGTGCATGAAGATTATACACTCAGCAATATATTGTGTTTGACGTTTAAAATCTAGAACTTCATGTAGTAGAAGACTAACATTCCGATTTTTCACTTGGAGAGATGCAATAAAAAATTTATATTAATTAATCCCAGTAAAACTGTAGATAATATTAAGCATAAATAATATTTTGCAATAAATTTTCAGAAAAATTAAGTTGTATCTCCTAACAATGACTGCACTCAAAAATCAATCTGAAATTAAAAAGTGCGTAGTTTTTAACAAAAATATTTATAAATTTTATGTGTTTCAGCTCTCAAGAAGAGGGAGCAAAAATGGACCCCAAAAAGAGGAAGCTCGAGGACGAATTGGACGCGCTGACCATTAGCGTCCCCACCTCGGTGTTATCTGAATGTAAAGAAGCTTTGAGTGGTAGGCTGAAGAATGCAGACAAGAAACAGACTCTTGTTGAAACCCTGAGGGCACTCATAGAGCCGGACAAAAATGAACAGGAGCCTCTGCAGAAAAATGACACATCTGGAATGGAGACTGACCGTATGGGAGGAGAAAAGGAACTGAAGACCAAAGACACCAAAGAGATTACTAGCTGCAAAAAGTGCAGCATGAACAAAGAAATTTTGAGATCATTAGAAACTAAACTCGAAGAGCTGAAAGAAAAAGTCAAGGAGAAGGAGCTGGAGCTGGAATACAAATCTCAGACAGGAGAAGAACCTTCGGACATTTGATAGTGCTTTGTTGAAGTATGGTGTTGAATGTTATGAATATTATCTAGCTATAAGATGACTAATTATAAGTTGCAGAGTGATATTTTTTGCATGTAATTAAAAGTTACATCCATGCAAATAAAAATAAGTAATTGAAAGGTCTCGGGAATTTGACAAAACTCTTTGAATTTTAATTACTTAAGTCGCGATTCCTTCGTAGCTTAAGATTTTTTTAAATTTATTTAAATTTAATTACCTGATAAATACACTTCTGAGAAAAAACTACTCAGATTAATGCAGAAGGCTGCATTTCATCATTGAATTAAGAACAGTATCAATTATCATGGTACCTCAAAATTGAAAAGAAAAAATCATTGAAAATCAATCAGTAGTGCTTTTTTTAAATTACTGATTTTTTTTGTCTTTAATTTAAAATGAAAATAAACTATAATACATATTTGGATAATAGGCACCAATGAACCAGTTTATTGAACTCCAATAATTATTCCAACGTTTGATTACTTCGATTAATGCAAGGCATGCTTTAATGCAGCTAAGAGAATTCTACAGCGTCCGAGACCAGTGAAAACCCGTTGAGACACCAGTGCGGAACTTATGTCATTGGAAAAAAGTTTCCAATAAGTAGACACCAGTCAAGACCAATGACATCAATGGGTCACAAGTCTGGTGTCGACCAGTGTTCTGTTTGGCAGGGAAGTCTGCCCAAAAGAGGGAAGACTTACATCATTAGTCAGCCAGTTTCAGTAAACCAAGGGAACGCTGTTGTCCAGAGGATGAACTGGGGGGTGGGGGGCATCAGTTCCGATCACGCATCTCGGCCTGTATAATGAATGAGGGTTGCCGCCAATGCACACGTTCTGGCACCCAGCAATGGTGGACAATTGGACCTGGAATTTACAATGGTCAGCAATTAGTAAATATATATCATCTTTCAACTAATATACGAGGGAAGCGTGGTGTGCCATTCAATCGTTCTAGTGACAATTTCGCAACATAAATATCCTAATAGTTAATATTCTCAATATTTAATATTAGATACATAAAAAATAATTTTTATCAAACTTAAATAATTGCGCTCGGCAAAAAGTCTTGAAAAAAAAAAGATTTTTGTGCCTATTGATTGCAATCTTCAATGGAACAGAATATTTATTTTCAAGTATTATTTTATTACATAGTTCACTTTGAAGTATTTTACTTAATATAAATATAAGGAACTGTTTAATATCAAAATGCAATTTACTAAAGATTATTGCAAGTGACAATAAAATATAGAGCCGCAGTAGCAAGCTATCAAGGCATTATTATTTTTTTTTTAAATAAGTCTACTCATTGAGTCCATTAATAACTTTCATTCAAAAGTTTATCAATTTATTTTCGGCTAAAAGAAAATTTAGTTTATAATACTAAAATTGTCATGCCCCGTTTTTTAAGGCTACAACGCATTTGATAAACGGTGAGTAGTCTGAACAACATAATTAGCCAGGATAAAAAAATCGAATTTAATTCGAATTGCAGAACAATAAAATTAAAAAAAATGATTGTCAGTGACAATCCCACACGTTCGGAGAAGGCACACGTCCACACTTTCAGTCTTAAACGCCCGCGCAGCATTCGTATTTAAGAGTTGAACGAGCAAAAGTAAGGATCCCACCCAATTCAGTAACACACCTCACTATCAGGGTGCGTGATACTGAGCAAGCTCTTTCCTTGTTGCTTTATTGTGAAACATAAAAAATAATTTTTTTTTTTGTAAAATTTTGTTAGGGGCAATACTGAAACGAATAAGTTATGCAACCGGCTCGGCATATTCGGCGCAACTCAAAACCGAACCAACGCCAGGAGGCAGCACTGCTAAAGCGCAACAATTTTATTGGAGTTAATAACCTTAAATATATACAGCAGTCTAAGTCTCACCGCTGATTCGGAGAATATCGTAAGATCAAATTTTGGGTGAATTTCTTTAAATTTCGATTTGATATATTTCGTTTATTTTGAAATAGATAGATTTCTTATTTGATTAACCATAATTACGCTTAATAAATTCGATTTTTAATATTTCTCAAAATAAATTCATTTTTGAGGACAGTTAAAAGACGTACAGCAGAGATCATGAGATTTAGCTGTGCCTACTTGGTTTTAATTACTTCCGCAATCGCCGGTAGCAGCGATGGCATTAATGAATCTGCTAATAAGAACGTCCTTCTAATTGTTGGTAATAAAATCTTTGAGATATCATAAGTAAATTAACAATTTAATATAACATTTAAAACGCAGCTGACGACGGAGGATTTCAGATGGGCGCTTACAACAGCATGTGCATTACAGAAAACTTGGACAAGTTGGCAAAAAAGAGCCTGATCTTTGACAATGCCTTCACGGCTGTCAGCAGCTGCTCGCCCAGGTCTATTAATTTTTTCTTTTCTTAAATCGACGATTTTAATTCAGGAAGACCTTAGCCGTTCAGCAATCCTGACTGGAGAGCCAAACCATCAAAACGGAATGTACGGACTGCACCAAGGCGTTCACCATTTCCAGTCATTTGACCAAATTCAGAGTTTGCCTAAAATTCTGTCGAAGAGGAAAATCGCAACAGGTTTAAATAAATATTTTACTGGCTTGTTCCCTTTTTCTATTTAATTTTTTCAGGAATTATTGGCAAAAAGCACGTTGGGCCGGCTGATGTGTATCCCTTTGACTTTGCGCACACAGAGGAGAATAACTCGATAATGCAAGTTGGCAGGAACATTACCAAGATCAAGATTTTGGTCAGAGAATTTCTGGCTAAAAGCAAGAAAGAGTATTTTTATTTTTTTAAATTGTACTGCAGATAAAGAAATCTAAATTTTCAGCCCATTTTTTTTATATGTGGCGTTTCATGACCCTCACCGTTGCGGCCATACCAACCCGGAGTATGGTCAATTTTGCGAAAAATTTGGAAACGGCGAGCCAGGTATGGGCCTAATCAAAGACTGGAGCCCAATTTATTACCAACCTGACGAGATCACGCCGCCTGATCTGCCCTATTTTATTCCATTCACAAGAGCGGCGCAGGAAGACGTTGCTGCCCAGTTCACCACTATGTCCAGATTGGACCAAGGTATTTTTTCATGAAAAATTTAATAATTCAGTGAGAATTTTACAAATATTTAAGGAGTTGGTCTTATCATGAAGGAGCTCCAAAGTGCTGGGGTTGATGGCTCCACCTTAGTTATTTACACCTCTGACAACGGCATCCCCTTTCCCAGTGGGCGCACCAACCTTTATGATCCTGGTATAATTACTTTTCAATTTACACAAGAGTTATATTCTTTGTTTTTCATATATTTAGGCCTTTCTGAGCCGATGTTAATCCACTCTCCGCTGCACAGAAAGAGGCAGGGTAAAGTGACTTATTCGATGACTTCCCTACTTGACGTCACCCCAACTATTCTGGACTGGTTCGGCATTGAGAAGCCCTCGCAACTGACAGGACGGTCACTTTTGCCACTTTTAACCGACGGTGAGTTGAAAATTTAACAATTTTAATACATTTATTAAAATTTTTAATAAAGAACCGGAGGAGGACAGGCCTATTTTTGCGAGTCACACAAACCACGAGGTCACTATGTACTACCCAATGCGCGCGGTGCGTACCAAAAGATACAAGTTGATCCACAACCTCAACTACAAAATGCCATTTCCAATTGATCAGGACTTTTTCATCTCTCAAACTTTCCAGGTTAGTTATTTTATGAAAAAAATAATCAAATTTTTCACAAATAAATCCTTGTAGGATATGCTGAATAGGACAAGAAACAAGGAGCCTTTGAACTGGTATAAAACATTACAAAATTACTATTACCGGCCTGAGTGGGAATTGTTTGATTTGCGTCTGGACCCAGAGGAATATTACAATGTCGCCAACAAGAAATCCTACAAGGTTCTAATTTTATTACTTTTTCAAATTGGATATTTACTGTTATTTTATAGAAAATTTTTGATGATCTGAAAACGCAGCTCTGGCAGTGGCAAAACGCAACCAATGACCCGTGGTTGTGTGCTCCGGGTGCAGTACTTGAAAATACTGGAGAGTTCAAATTACACCCAGCATGTCTTTCAGCTGGTTACTTTAATGACGATCTGTACTAGTTTAAATTTTTTCATTATAAAAAATTGTATTTTAAACGCTGTTTTAAATCACTGAATCACTTTTGCATGTGCAGCGCTCTTGGTCGTTGGAGCACAAACTGATCAATTAAAGTTTTCGGAGTAAAAACACACACAAGCGAGTCCCAAGCGCAGTCAGCCAACTGTCCAGGGACATGGAGGTTGAAGTCGAGACCGTAAACGAATTCAGTGTGTTGCTTTATAGTTTCAATAGGCTCGGCGCAGTTTTTGAAATCCCAAATTCTAAAAATTAAAATCGCGACGATCGTTCAGTATTTCGGCGGAAAAATTATATTCGAATTGTACCTACCTTGTGCTAAAGTCGTAGGACACTGCTGCCAGCACAGATCTTTGATGGGGTGAAAATTGCACTTTCCTCACAGCCCTTTCGCAGCCCTTCAAATTAAAATATATTAAGATTATATTCATAAGCATACAAAAAATAAAAATGATTTAAATTTGTGCTAAAAATTTAAAATATTGCATCAAGAGATAATTACAATTTGGTGGAAGATTGGGACTTGCAGTTTTCTCGTGTCCCAGCCTCTGATGAGACCATCAGAAGCGGCTGTCACCAAGATGTGCTCCTGGTATTTGCACCAGTCACAGCTCAAAACTTCGGCACCCTGGTGAGCAGCCACCTTCAAAACAGGGTTTTGAGGAGCTGTGATGTTGCAAATCTGGAGACTGCCATCTCCAGACACTGATGCAAAAGTGCCGTGGACCAGAGGAGACCAAACAGCGCTGTAGACAATGCCTGTGTGGCCCACAAAGGTGCTAAGAGAATGCGGCTGGACTGGATTCCACTGTAAAAAATCCTTCTATTAATATGAATGTCATCTAACTTTTGCAAAAAGATCTACATGAAATTATCCAAATTTATTGTCATTGTGAAAAAAGGTTAAAATTTTGTTACTTGATTTGACTTTAGTTGAATTTGTTATTAATTACTTTGGAAATATAAAATAACGTACCAATTTAACAGTGCAGTCCCAAGAAGCAGACAGGAAGAGTTGCTCCTGCCGCGTTTTACTCCAGTCCACTCCATACACCTCTTTACTATGCTCTTTATACACCAGTCGAGGGACGTTCTGATGATTAAAAATTTATTTATTTAAAATGAAAATTTAACTGAACTCAAACCTGTCCAACATTCCACAGCTGAAGGGAGCCATCGCCACTGGCAGAGATGACAATTTCAGGATTTTCCTCGCTCCAGGCAACATCAAATAGGCCATCGTCCCAATTCAACTGACTTAAAAGTTTGGGCTGTTCATTTGGTAAGATGGACAGGAGGAACAAAGCACCACGACCTATGATAAAGGGAACATATTACGTAGCAGACAAAAAAGAACTTTGTACGTACCAGAGAGACCATAATGCTGCGAAGTTGCGCAAATCAACCTGTCAGCCTGGAAGGGTGAGAACTGGAGCGAGTAGCCGTGCAAGTTCTGAGTGCAAAACACACTGGTCCCCATCGTAATCTGCAAAAATATAGAGGACACAATTCTGTCATATAGTGAATTAATCAATAATCTTATAAAGAGCGGTAAGATAGGGGATAAGCATTATATCTTATCAATATTACCTTTGATCCTAACTTCAGCCACAAAATAACTTGGAATTAATTTAAGTACAAAATTCATTTTTCTAATAATCTAGATAAATTTTTTGTAAGGGTTGAAGACTAAATTTGGAATGTTTGCCCCTAACTGCAATGCAAAATTAAATTTCATCTGATAAAAAATAATTTGCTAAAATTTTATTTTCCAATTTAAAAATACTGAATAAATAATTAAAATTATTTCAGATCAGGATTTAATTGAGATTAATTACATATCCTAGAAACCTGCTAGAAACTGAAATGTGTAAAAAAATAATGTTAACTTCTTAAATAAAATTAGCATAATTATGTCGTAATTATTTGAGGTTTATCAACACGATTTAAATTACACAAAAAATTAATGATTAGAAGAAATGATCAATTCCTTTATTGACTGATGAATTAAATTAACAACAACTGCAATCAAATGTTAGCTATCTACCTTTCTACATCCTATACATGGTTAGTACTTGTGCTACATCGGGTCCGCAGGCCACATCGACGGGTGTGTCCCCTTCGTTGTCCTTAGCTGCAGGGTCAGCGCCAGCCTTGAGCAGCGCATCGACGACCTCCACGTGTCCACACGACGCTGCATAATGCAGAGCGGTCTGTCCGTCTGCGTCCTTGAAGTCGAACTCTGCCCCAAGACTGAGGAGACACTTGACGACCTCAAGGTTGCCACGGTCAGTGGCCCAGTGCAGCGCTGTCATGCCTGTGTCGTCCCACTGGTTGGGGTCATGACCATTTGCGACCAGTTTGCGGACTAAGTCGGCACGGCCCTCTTTAGCCCAGTCCAGCAGGGTCTTGTCCTTGTCGGCCAACTGCTCCTCTTCTTCAGCCACCGGACAAGAGACGGACACCCATCCAGAAGGCAGATCCGAGTCCCGCCATTCAGGATGAGCAGAGGTCAGCAGTTGGATGTACCTTAGTTTGGCCTCAGCCTCGGGCAGGTCAGTCACTTTATTCCAGGCGTCCCACTTTTGTTTGGCTGTCGCTTGGAACCAAGAGGGTTGTGCTGTGGTGCACGGGCCTGCGGTGGCCCTTTTGAAAAGCCCGTAAAGCTGAAGGAGGAGCTTCGAGTCCAGCTCGCCGGCCGTCGCTTGGACAAACTTGGTGGCCGCCTCAAAACTGGCCTCCAACTCTACATCTACATGGCTAGCCATTGCACTAAGGTAACTACGGAGTTTGCTGCGCAGGGTTGACAGTCAGGTTGTTACCCTCGAGCAGGTGGTTCTGTTTGTTGATAGCGTTGGCAAATGCGTTCTGGTTGCCGAAAGAGACAAAACCGTAGCCACGGCTCATGCCAGTGTTCTTGTCGAAAACCACATAAGCTGAGGCGACGTTGCCAAACTCAGAGAAGTAGTGCCGCAACTCCTGATGGCCAACGGTCCATGGAAGATTTCCAACAAAGATGCGCTGAATTGCACGGGCGGCCATTATTCCTCGTCTGCAACAGTTAATAATTTATTAATGATAAGTTCTATTCTCAATCAAGATTTATATGAATATATTTAAGATTCTATTAATTGCAAAAATTTATTATCATAAAGAAAAATTAAAAACGTGAAAGTACTTGCTCATTTACAAATTATTTGCTCACCTCTCAGGTAAATAACTGTTGACGAACCAATCCCGAACATGTCTAAAATAACATTTTTGAGTGAAAATAGACTGACAATGAATTCAATCAGCTGTTTCAATACCTTTCAAATAGTTGTAGCCAGTGTACCTCTTTGCTCGGAAATCAGTCAATTTTCATCAAATCACGTTACATTAAACTTTGTTTTGATTGATTTGTCAAATACCTGGTAGTTTTTAATTTTAATTATACATTCAACCAAAGAAATATATACAAAAACAATTCGACTAATTTTTCTTGCTTTACGAAATAAAAAAGTTCATTTTAATTTTAGAACATTTAATTACTCGTATTCACCTGTTTTTTTTTTATTAAGCTTTGGCAATTTCCAGCAAGTGGATGGTGTGATCTTGCATCAGCTCGTGAACGTCAATGCCAGACTCTGCGCCCAAAGTGGACAGCGGGATGTGCTCGCAGCGAAGGCCCCACTTGTTGAGCAGGTGCTCGATGGACCAGTCAGCACTTCTCTCCTGGTATGTGCACAGGAACTTGGCCAACGGGTTCTTGTCGAGCAAGAAGGACACGGTGACCAAGATGTCTTCGAAGAGGGACGGCTCGTAGAAGCAATCTGAGCCCAGTATCAAATCCACAGGGCCGAGGGCAAAGGTGCTGTGCAGAAAGAGGCCCCACGAGAGTCCAAGGACGCGCACTCGGCCGGTCAGTCCGTTGATGTCGCACACCCGTTGGCAGTGCTGCAGACTCCTCGGCAGACTGGCGCAGTCGGACAAGGTAACGTCGGCTCCGCACTTTGCAGCTACGATTCCTGGCAAGCTGGTGCCGGCGCCGATTTCAATCACGCGTTTTCCGGGAAGCTCGCGTCGATGCTCCCACAGGAACCACGCAAGGATTGGAGCCGAGGGCCACGTGTAAAAGTTGTAGCTCGCTTGAAGAAGCTGTGAAAATGAACTGAAATCAATAAGTCTATTCGTTTACTTTTTTGTGGAATATTGAAAAACACCCTTGTTCCGCAAGTCGCCATGATTGCATGGGCTTGGGTGCAAGGGACATGCGGTGCCTCTTTTTTAGTCTTTTTACCTCGGGAATGATGACCTCAAGCGTCTCCGGGGGGCCTTCTCCAATCAACGGGGGTTTGGTTTTGAAAACAAACTTTTTGATCTTCTCGCCAGACCCATCAGACATTAGAAATCATTGAAATGCGGCATTGCCCAAGCTCAAAATGCAAGCTGATGCAAGCTAAGAAACACGGAATACGACGACGATGAGAAAAAGCATCCACTCCCGCACTCCCTCTCCTAGCAATGCCAATGTGACAAAAGTATTTAAGGTCTTAAATTTGAGCAAGATTGCATCACATTGCAAAAAAAAATTTTAAATAAAAGAAATTGAAAAAAAATTGTAATTGATTGTTATCAATTAAAATAAACGTTGAAACAATAAAACCAAAGAAGATCAAGATATTTTTACAAAGTTTATCATCCTGCTGTAAGGTTATGTTGCCTTGACCTTTTGCTTTTTATAGATGGCAGCACCGATCGCCCTTCCAGCTTGGACGGACGACGGACAGGCAAGCCCTGGTGCCTGGTTGGTTCTTATTTACATGGCGTCTTTTTGAAGTGACATTTGTATGCGAGGAGTGCTGGCGAATTTCAGAATATCTCTGCTGTTACCCAGAAATTAGCTGAGTCTCGCAGCGGTTCGCGATGGGCGGACAAAAGTTCCAGTATGACGAGAGCGGTGGAACATTTTTCTACTTCCTTATCTCGTTTCTCGCTCTTCTTTTAATCCCTGGAACTTATTACTATTGGCCACGTCGTCTCGTCGAAGGTAAACCAAAACATTTTTCTTTTATAAATTGTAATAATACATTTCGATAATAGTTAACACGAAATTTTGAATGATGTTTTCATCTTGAATTTTCAAAATTCTCGTCTGTTAAAAATTATTTTCAAAGAAAAAAAAATAGTTTTAAAAGGCACGCACCAGTTCGCCTGCATGTTTGTGTTCTCCGCTAATGTAACGGTACCTAGCATTCGCTGACAGTTTTGCCAATTGTGATGCGTGACATTGCTGCCGAGCACGCACTGATGCTAAAATTTTATTTTTGCAGATCCCGAAAAGGCAAGGAAGTTATGCCAGTGCGATGGCTGCAAACGGAAAAGGAGAATTATGCAGAGCAGCGAGCCTTGGAAAGGAACCAAAAATTTTTTCAAGTGCGCAATAAAATATTCACTTTCCTTTTTTTTTAACCTTCGATGTCTCATTAAATTTTCAGAAAAGTGGTCATAATTCTTGGCTGGGTTCTGCTGTTTCTCTTGGCCTACAAGGTTTCCCAATTTGATTACGAAATGGCCAACTTTGACCCTTATGACATCCTTCAAGTTTCGTCTGTAATATGAAATTCCTTTTTTCGTTGCAAACCATCTAACCTTGGAATATTTTTTTAATTTTAGGGAGCATCTCAAGCAGATATAAAAAAGGCGTACCGAAAATTATCTTTGATTCTTCACCCTGACAAAGAGACTGGCAATGAAAAGGCTTTCATGAAGCTTAATAAAGGTATGTAATTGGATAAAATGTGATATTGCTATGCGTGTTGTGGTGCTTCTCACTCAAAACTAACCAAATTTTTCATCTAAAACAGCATACCAAGCGCTGACAGATGATGAGGCACGTAAAAACTGGGAAAAGTACGGCAACCCTGATGGCCCAGGAGTCATCAACTTTGGAATTGCCCTACCTTCTTGGATAGTTGAAAAAGAAAACTCTGTCTGGGTAATTATTTTAAGTTCTTTTAAAAAAAAATTAATGTAAACAGTCAACTCAGCTTTTGTCAAAAATTCTTATTTTGATTGGAGAATAAGAAATACTTTTTTTTCCGCAGGTTTTGGGCCTGTACGCTTTGGTGTTCATGATCGCCCTCCCCACCGTTGTGGGAATGTGGTGGTACAGATCGATTCGCTACTCGGGAGATCAGGTGTTGCTTGACACACAGCAGCTTTACTACTACTTCTTCCACAAGACGCCTGCCATGCCTCTCAAGCGGGCGTTGATGATATTGGCTGCGTCTTTGGAGTATGACAAAAAGCACAACAATGAGGTGCAGGAACGACCGTCGGACAACGTTGAAATACCGCAGCTGATTCGTCAGATTCCCAACTTGAATGAGAAGACCCGAGAGCGTCCCTTGAGCGATGCATATTCATTGAAGGCCCGAGCATTGATTTTTGCTCACATGAGCCGAATGCACCTACCTGAAAAAACGTTGGAGATTGACCGACAGTACATCGTCAAAAAGTGTCCGTACCTCATTCAGGAGATGGTCAATTGCGTCTCCCAACTCATATTGCTTGCTTACGCTAGAAGAAGTGAGTTATCAAAGTTTTTACAAAAATCGAGCAATTTTGAATTACTTTTTATAATTTGATTTTGATTAAATTACTTATATTTGTAAATATTTGTGTTTTAACACAAAATGCTCAGATTTAAAATATTTTCTCCTTTTTGTATTTGTTATAAAATAAAATTTATTTTAAATTTGTTTAGTAAACATGCTCCCGAAAATCGAGACCATCGAAAACGTGATGAAGCTCAGTCCCATGATAGTGCAAGGTCTGTGGGAAATTAAAAGTCCACTTCTGCAGCTGCCGCACATCCAGGAGGAAAACTTGAAATGGTTTTCATCAAAAAAGGTATAAATTTTATTAGATTTATGGATAAACATTTTAAGTAATTTATCAGATCCCTTTTATGAAAAATTCCACCAGAAAAGAGGTAGAATATTGACATTTAAAAAAATTCCTTTTAAGAATAATTACCATATAAGTAAATACTAATTTTGGATTTATTTTCCTTTAGAGGCACATTAAGAACTTGCAGCAACTGGCCCAATTACCAGCTGATGACCGACGGGCTTTGCTAAAGAGTATTCCAGACGAGCATTACGAGGACATTATGAAAGTTTTAGGAAATATGCCATACATAGATTTCCAAGTCAGATGTGAAGGTAAGAATTTTTTCTGATATTTTTAAGTTAGGTTGAAATAAATTGAACAATGGACGCCACTAATATTTTTATTCTGAATTGCAGTCATAGATGATGAAGAGCCAACTGTTTACACAGCAGGAGCAATTGTGACTGTGACAGTAATTTTGGAGCGTAAAAACATGTCAGTACTTTTTGGTGATGAATCAGCCCCAGACAAGACTGCCGATGAGTCAAAAGAAGAGGTGGACGAAGATGCTGAAAAGAAAGAGGATGCCAACCAGACTAAGAAGCCACCTGCGTGGCAAAAGCAGAAGAAAGGCAAGAAGAGCAGTAAAAAGGGTGCCAAGAAGTCTGTTGTGAGCTCAAGTAAGCCTGCAGCACCAGCAGCAGCACCACCAACTACAACCACACCAACCTCAAATTCAGTCGGTAAAAAATCTTTAGAGAAAGTCGAAGAGGACAAGAGTTCGGAGAAAGCTGAGGCTTCGGCAGATCCAGATGAGAGTGAGTTGTCAGACGATGACGCTGAGCAATCAGATGACAGTGAAGGAGAACAAGTGAATGAAAAGAGCAACAAGAAATCAACAGTTGAAGATGACGATGTCGAGTGGGAAAAGTTCCAAAACAAACTAGCCAAACGAGAAAAAGTCCTTGAGGGTCGCAGCAAAACTTCGCATAGTGTTCACTGTCCTCTATACCCAGATGTAATGTTCTTGAAATTTATGTATTTTTTAAATTAAATCTTTATTTTCAGGACAAGCAAGAGTACTGGTGGGTCTACATAAGTGACAGAAAAAGCCACACACTGCTGACAGCACCGTACCACGTCACGGCTTTGGTTGATACAGAAGAGATTCAGTTAAAGTTCACAGCTCCTAGGTGGCCTGGTGTCTACACCTTTGCTGTTTGCTTACGATCAGACTCTTACCTGGGATTTGACCAGCTCCATGACATAAAAGTAAGTCTTCATTTTGTAATTTGATGAAAAATAAAACGCCACAAATTTTCAGCTTGATGTTAAGGAGGCGCCAGAGGAAATTACAGACCATCCTCAATGGGACTTCCCTGAGGGAGAAGAGGCTCAAGAGGGCGAGGGAAGTGACCTTTCCGAATTCACGACAGACGAAGACGTGGAGGACGACGAAGAGTGAAAAGAGAAAGTGTACGTGTGCCTGTCTGGATCGTGCTCATCTCTCGATTGGTTCTGCGAAAAAGTTATTCATTTGTTTGTTGAATACCAAGGTTTTAAATGTAAAAATGAATGTGTAACCAAATTTACGCTGTTAATGTTTCATCTTATATTATTACGAAGAGAAATAATTTATTGTGAGGTTGACAGGAAGATTTAGGCGAGATTGATGTTTTGGGTTTAAAAATATATTGAACTAAGGGGTGTGTCACGCACAGTAGACCAATTAAACAAATTTTCCTTTCGTATCAACACTTGTTTTATTTGAACTAATTTTTTTCAAGAACTTCTGATAATAAACAGATATTATTAGTTGTACATAAAAAGAAAGTTACGTTTAAATTGGGCAGTATGAATTAAGTTTATTAAGTAACCAATTGAAATATATTTCTTAAAAAGATCTGTTTATTAAAAAGATATGTTTTCTAAACAAATCAACACAACTCATTTACTCTTGGTTGCCCTCGACTTCTTAGGTGATGTGTATGTGACATTGGACACCTCAAGAAGTTTCTGTAGAAGATCATCTTTACCCTCAAGCTTGGCGTGGTCGGTCTTCATGTGCTTGATAAGGGCCAAGGATCTTCCGTACGTTGCATTGCAAAGAACGCATTCAAAGAGCTCTCTATTCTTGGGCAGGTGGATTAATTTGATGTGCTGAGTAGCAGCATTCCTAGAGTAGAATGCTCGGCCGCAATCTTCACACTTGAACAGCTTTTCATGTGAGCCCACGTGTCCATGCCAGGCAGCTCTCGTCTTGAACGCTTTTGGACAGTATGTGCACACAAAGTTTCTCTCGGTCCGATGCTTGCTCCTGATGTGGTTGTGCATGGCGCTGTTTGACTTGAAGGCCATATCACACTCCTTACATTTGTACGGCCGCTCATTTGTGTGGGTCCGCATATGAACATAGAGCATCTGCGCCAGCCGGAAGGTCTTTGGACAAAGTTTGCATGCATGATCTTTGGTGCCTTTGTGGATCAGTTCATGCTTATGGCGGTCAGCAGTGCGCCGGAAGGTCTTCGGGCAGAATTGACACTTGAGGGTTTTGAGTACAGCCATGGTAGTGACGTGTCTCTGGTAGTGATAGTTTAGGGAAGCGGCCGAGCACACGTTGATGCTACACACAGGACACTGGAACATAATACCACTTTTGTGCGATGCCTTTGCATGCACACCCAGACTGAGCGCCGAATAAAAGTGGCTCGGACATTCAGTGCACTTGAAGAGCTTCCCCACGCCTCGATGGTGCATGGCATCATGGATATCCTTCAGGTCAACACTGATGCATTCCTGGCAGCTGTCACAGAAGGTCAGGTCATAGGAGGTGACAATTGTTTGATTCAGTTGAGACTCCAAATGGTCTATTGAAGGCAAGTGATTCCGTAATTGGTCCAGATCCTTGAAGTATCTTAAACAAAATAAAAAATGTATTTAATTTAAATTAAGTTAAATAAAAAGAGAAATCCTTTTTAAATCAACCACATCTTTATAGGATCTCAAAATGTAAAAAAAGGAATATTTTTATAGCAACTTAATTGAACTTACTTTGTGCAGAGGTTGCATTTGAGCATCTGTTCCTTGTCAGGATGAGCTTTATTGACATGCGAGAGCAAATCTTGCTCTTCAAGAAAGTACTTTTTACAGTGTGGACAAGAAAACTGAGCATGGCTTTGTACGTGCACCTTCAAGCCCTGCGAGGATGAGCATTTCTTGCCACAAAGTTCGCACTCAGTGCTCAATTCCAAGTCCCCGCGCTCTGCGTGCTTGGCCAAGTGTCTCCTGAGCTCTCTTTTGCGGGCAAACTTTTTTTTGCATATATTGCAAGTAAGGACTTGCACATACTCAAAGCCTGCCATATGGTTTCTTGCCACGGCGTGCACCTCTGCAGATATTTTGGAGCCAAAGACCTTGTCGCACGTTTGACACTTGAACGGACTTGGATTAGTAGGTGCGGAAGAGTAATTGGAGTTTGCCGTCTGATCCTGCTGACCGGCTAAGAGAATTTCTCCCTTTGCTATATGTACATTTTCATGCTTCCACAGATCACGTTTTCGTAGGTGTCCTTTAGAGCAGTACCTGCATTGGTAGATGGTGGTGTCGGTGAGCATGTCGCGGCAGTGATTGCTGGCCATGCAATGAAGTTGAAGAGACGAACGTGAGGCGTACGATTTGGGACATTCTCGACATGCAAACATCTTTGACATAGTTGGAGCCATATCATGAACGTCTTTGAGGTGTTTGTTTAATCTTTCCAAGGCGATGAACTTTGAAGGGCAAGCTATGCATTTGAAGACCTCAACACCACTCTGGTGCAGCTGGTTGTGAAGATTAGCATCTTCGACGTCCTCCTTGCAAACACGGCAGTGGTGTGAGCATACACTCATCTCTGCGACGAATTTTGTAAGGTCAGTTTCATTCCATTACATTTTTACTTTACATGTGGCAGGGAAAAGCGCAACAATTATCAGAAAAATTTTCTCACCTGGTAAGATATTGTTTTCGTTGATCTTCATTTCAACTGTTGGATGCTCACTGAGGATGTGCTTGGTAATTCCAGGTAAAGTAAAACCCGTCATCTCGCAAAAGCCACAATTCATCTTAGATCGTATTCCTTTCTGTCCATATGGGTGCTCTTCCTGCCTGTGCTTCCTATATGCAGCCCTTCGATTGAATTTTATCTTGCATATTGTGCATTCGAACTTTCCTCTATAAATTTAAAAATATAAAGTAGTTGCTTTGAAATAAATGAAAGAAATTTGTATACATATTCTCTGCTGCTTCTTCAGTTTCCCGAATTTCCTCTTTTCCACATGATTTGCTATGTTCTGTCAGAGAAAATTTGGAGAGGAAGCATTTTTTGCATGAGGTGCACTGGTGCACCTTGGCGCCTTCTTTGTGGATCTTGATGTGGGTTTCAACTGTCTCGGAAGCAAAGTCTAAACAACACTTGTTGCAGAAAACAGATACCACCTCATCAGGCAAGCCTATCATGATCGTGTTTAGCTCTTCCTCCAACATATCAAGTTTGTGCTGCCTGATGTGTGGACTTGCAGATGATTGGCTATTGAAAACTTTGTCACAAAATGGGCATTTCTGGCACTTGTGCTTGGTCTGTTTGTCCAGGTCGTGGGTTTTAAAATTGCACAGTCTGCACTTATACAAAACAACTTTTTCCTTTACCACCTACAGAAAATTGAGAGAGTTAGTGTAAATTAAAAAGACAAGGTAAATCATACTTTGGTGGCAATTGTTTTAATCTTTGCATCAGTTGAATTTCCAATCTCCACATTCTCTTCAGAATTTACCTCTTGAGAGATTAACATGGATTCACTAAAATCGTCATCATGGCCATTTTCATCATCACTGCCTAAATCCACAGAAACGGCATCCTCTGATTTCCTTTCCACCAGAGGTTCTTGATAATCTTAAAGTTAGTTTGCAGGAAATATTTAAATTAGATAATGTATATACCTTGAGTGACGATTTTTTGTTTCTTCGAATCAACCGAGTGTTTATTTGCATCAGGGCTTCCGTCTGCTGGCCTTTTTCTGTCACTGATTACTTTTTGTGGAGGTTTCAGCTACACAATAAGATTAAAATTAGATATAGTTTAATGATTGATTTCAAAGCTTTCACCAGAAGAACTCTCTTAACATCTTGGCCAACATTTAGCATTGGAGAGGCTGTAGTTGGCGTGATGATTTTGATGTTCCCCGTTTCAGATTTCTTTGATGGGCTCTTGTGCAAAACCCTGAGGATTCTCAGGCCTCTGAGTGTGCTGTTGGAAGCTACAACTGTTGCTTTCTGAGGAGAGTCTATGTTGCTGCACTCTATGACATGCTTCTCCGGCTGCTGAGTTTTAGGACACTTGTTGACCAAGTGTTCGGAGTACTCTTGCAAGGAGGCAAATTTAGTGGCGCAAGCATAGCACTGCAACGAGCTGAGCTTCTGCTGCAAAGCAACCAAATGCTCCTGAAGTTTTTCTGGGGTCAGGAATGTAGCGCTACAGCAACAGGGGCACTTTATCAAATTGATGCTTTCAGCTAAGTGCCTGAAATTTTGATATGAAATGGTCAACATTATGTACAAAAATCAACATGAAATATACAAACCTGATGTTAATTTTTGCGTTTGAAATCATGATGATTACGCATGTAAAAAAAAAAGAGTTGCAGACACACAAAACTAAAGCAAAATTTTCAACGAAACATTATGTACATATTTGTACAAATAAAATCAGCGTTCAATAATGGTTTGATTCCAGAAATTAATCTTTAAAAGGAAACGATCGACATGAAATTTCAAAAGGGCACAAATTCTATTCAGCAATGAAATGATGTCTAATCATTTTCGTTTGGCTTGGCCATGGCCATTGCCTTCTTCCGTTGCTGTGAGGCCCGGGAAGCCAGGTTCAGAGCTTCTGAGGTTCAGAGATCGTAACAACAACCGGTTATCGGCCGATCGTCAATTGTTTTTTTTTTTAACAAAAGCAAAAGTACCGCAGGCCGCAGGCAGTAGAGCCCGCTGTCCGCTAGGCTGCAAGGATTAGATCGCTCGATCGCGTATATCATTAATATCATATTATATCATTCAATATATCAATAGATGATTCATATTGTCAAATTATTTAATTATCGACCTTTTAAAAGGGGCAATTGCCCCATTTTGGCATTTTTGCGACTGCATTCTTTTCAAAAAGCATTATTAATTACGATTAATTATTCTCATAATTTAGTATTTAGTAATTTAAATTTTTCAAAATTCAAACTTGAAAAAAAGCCCATTGCAATTGCGGAAAGCATAATGCAATCTTAATCTGAAATCTTTTTTTTAATCCAATTAATCCTATAGCTCTGCACTCTGCGCGGTCGTTAAATTGCATAGTTGAAGCGAAAATCTTTATTCCCAAACTTTTATCAATATAAAGATTAAAGAAGCTAAAAATAGTAAAATAATTATTTATTTATGGGTGCCCGGTGCATCGTGGTTGGGTCAACTCGCGATCCGCGATGATAACACGCATAAGTTCAAGAAGCTAATTGTAAAAAAAATTCATAAATCTCAACTATATTTATTTTCCAATTTTAACAGCTTTTATCAATAATTATTTGTTAAAATTAAAATTATATATATTTTATTCTCATATTTATTTCAAATAAAGTTTGGAAAATTTAAACACGTTATAATTATTATAAATTCCTTATATTTACACTCACTTTTTTAATTATTTAAATATTTTTGTCACGATCGACCGCGACACAAGACGAGTGGCGAGAATCATACTTGTTTATCAGAGGATGGCCGCGGCCTCACGAAACAGATCGGTCGCTTGCTGCTGCCTGCTTTGGAGATTTTTGTGGGGGTGGAAGAAGAGAAGGAAGCATGTCAGGTATAGGCAATCGTCAATAACAATAGAGAACACAAAAAACAGGTGATCCAAGGAGACTTAAAAATGTTGAAAATCTCACAAAGCGTATATACAAATAGCATGAGAATGCGCTCCTAACTTATTCTCCTAAATTATTTATTAATTTTACAAAATATAATTATGTGGGTGCACAATTTTTGATACGGCCAATATTAGGTTTGTTGAAATCAGCATTAAAATTGTCAAATTTTGATGAAAGTTAATTTGAAATTAAAAACCAGAGGTCAAGAGGGCAGCGGGTGACCTAGGGCACTTAGAGCTTTAACAATACCTTCTTGCTCTGGAGCTTAAAATTTTGAATCAACCATCGTTAGAATTATGCGATTCGGACCAGTGGGAGCAAAGTATTTGCGCTCGGCAGTTTAGTATGAACATCACATTTTTAAGAAGGTTGAATTAAATTTAAATTATTCTATTAACGCCATTGACAAGAACGCTTCAAGTGTTTTGAGCCAAGTCTTTAAGCAACTAATCATAATTTATTTGTGTTTTTTTACTTGAAATCTATGTGCTGCAGTCAAAGTTGAAGTGGAAAAAACACTGTAATAATTTTGAATAGCTGTTTCAGAATCTGAATTCTCACAATAAAAAAACAATAGATGTATTTGAGCTTAGTTGTGAATTTTCTCAATTTTTACTTCATTAGCAGGCGAGATAATTAATAAAAACTCCGCGACCCGCCCCAAAAATTTTTGGACTAAAAAGCCGCGGTCGTCTCACACAAGAGAGACATCGGCGTTATTGCGCTGTTCAAGTTTCTGTAAAAACGAAAACTCAAAAAATCGTAACTTTGGTCCTATTGATCCGAATAATTAAATTTTTGAAATATATAAAAGATTTTTCAATCTCAAAAAATTGGTATCAACATTTGATTAAATATAAAAGATAACAAGGAAGCTATTAGGCAAATATCTCTTTTATGAATACATAGCTTGTAAAATTTAAAAAAAAAAATATGTATAAATTTGTTCAGAACAGTGGAAAAAATTTGAGACTTAAACAAGTAAAAGAAGGAATCAATAAGGCTCTTTTAAATAATCATCTGTGCTAAATATGACCGTAATCCAAATATTAAAAAAAAATTATAATTATAAAAATATCAACTCAATAAAATTATAAAAATTTTACCTTCCGCGTTTGTGTTAAACCAAAACATTTTTATACTTTGATCTCATACAATACACCACAGCCTAATTAAAATGAATGCCCGTAATATTCTTATTTTATTTGGGTTTAATTCACTTATTTTATTTTGACCATGTTCGTAAAAATATTCTGCTGATAATTATATAATATTATTTCTAAATTTAAATTTAAGAAGGTGATGAAATATGACATATATTTTTTAATTTTATTAAATATGCATGCATAAAAATACTAGTTCCTGAGACGCGGAAAAGGTAGTACGCAGTGAACTATAAATTCCAGCTCGGGTGTCATTCGCGTGTGCTTTTGGATTCAAATTATAAAAATACGTCGCGCCACCCCGCTCCACAAACAACCGGTTACCGATATCCCCGCCCCCTGCCGGTATAACCGTTTGAACCTGTGAACCTGGCTTCACGCTCGCGTTGCTGTGCTCCTTGTTGATCTACAAATTTACAATTACGCCCCTTTTCTTACCAATAGCCACCAACTTTGTTTAGGACAGAAAAATATAACAATAAAATAAAAAATATAGAAATATGACTTCAATACAATAGCTTTATTAATATAATTAATATTTTAATGACATTTTGGCTACAAATAGGACATATTTAAAAAAATTACGTGCATAAAAATGCAGAATGTATTTAGGGTATTTAGCTTAAGTTGTCGTTCCTGGTTGCCCCGCCACGAAAATTAGCCACCCACCCGCCCTTTCCACTTCCACGATTTCGATCTTTCTTCTCCGACGACGACGAGTTTTTGAGCGAAAGGTTCAGCTGCGGCGTTCGGAAGGTGTGACCTGATTAACTAGTGCTTTGAGAACCTCGAAATCGAGCAGATTTCCATTAATTTTGCTCCGGCTGCGAGTGAGTTTTATTTTCAAGCGTGAAAAGTCCGAGGTTGACCCTGTCCGAGAGTTTTATTGATCGGACTGCCTGCACCTTTCCCTTTGGCTGTGCAAAACAATTTCATCCCTTCTGAAACCTGCAACCCTCCGCGACTCTCAGTTTGACAAAATAGTGACCTTTTAAAACTTTTTCACTGATAATTAAGTCAAATTCTTTCTGTGGTCTTTCCACTGGAACCACCAAAAGCTTTTCTGTTTTGGCGCAAGAAGTTCTTCAGCTTTTTTACTACATAACACGGGACCTAGCTGGGTAATTCCTGCTCCAGATCAGAAAGATAACAATTTCTTTTGAACCGATCCCTTTCTCTTATCTCCAGACACGGTCCTTTAATTGATTTACAAGTTCAATCAAAGTGCCAAGATTTTAAACATTTTAATCGAAGAGACCACCAAATCAAATCACTTTAATTTATTCAGCCATGCAATTATGTTGTTAATCAAAATGTGCAATTGATTAAATTGTATGAATTTATGCCAACAGACAAAGACGAGGAGCGAATCTGCACGGCCAAAGTGCGCCAGCAAGAGGAGATTCTCAAAGTTAAATAAAAATAGCCGATTTTGGACAGTGGCCAGGAATAAGGGCGACGTCATCTGTTGTATAATTTAGTGCGATCGTCGGTCGGTTGTATTCGGCAAAAATGCATCGTGCAAGGACAGTTATCAACAACCTGGTGCCTCTGGCGCCCCTTGTGCCCAAAGTTGCCCCCGAGAGGTTCGCCGCGTGGTTGGCAGCCGCCCCCAACAAGATCATCATCAATTCGCCACCTAAACGGTGGTACAATGCACCTGTCGCCACTGAACCCTTCCTCAACGGCAGTTCCGGCAGCTATGTCGAGGAAATGTACAACTCCTGGCTTGCTGACCCCAAGAGCGTCCATGCGGTGAGAAACAAATTTAATTAATTATTAAAATGGTCTTAAAAAATTTACCTTTAAACACCAATTTTTTTCAATAAGTTTGAAAGTTTAGATACATTTCCAAATTAATATTCAAAATTATTATTTCCTGTATAAATTTTTTTCATTTATGAAAATTTCTCGTTTTTTTATGGATTTTATTAATGTTATTTGAGAATTAAGTTTTACTGTAAAAAGATTTTTTTTATTTGTTTATGCATACTTAAAGTTCTTATGTAATGAACTTTGAACTTCTCTCGTCTTTGCCTTTTGTTGATTTGATCAAGAAAGTTGATCTTGAGTTAATCGTAGGATTTAATAAATTAATTTTCAATACAAGCAGTCGAACCGACAAGTCCACGAGGTCACATTTGAGTGACGTCGGCACTCACGAGGGGCCTGCTCGCGTTTCTCCTTTCCGATTGGCTGGTCGAGCTCATAAAGACATAGTGATAAAGCCTTTATCGTGTTGAGTCAACTTGCTGCATAATTAATTACTGAGTAGAAACATCTTACAGTAAAGTAGTTGTTGGAGGAATATCTCCACAACTCGAGGAAAAAGGTCACTCACAAAATGCGGTGACGGCACTTTTGCTGCTTCTAACCCACATTTGATCACTTTTAGAATTTTTAGTAAAAAATGAATTTAGGTTTATTTAAAGCTAGATCAACAATTTTTCTTAATTACATTCAATTTTTTTGAATACTTGTATATTTGGGTTAAATTATTCGCCAATCCGTGTCTTGAAATTACTTAACAACAAAAATGTGCAAGATCCAACCGCAGACTAGACAATTTAGTCAAACTGCACGTTTTTCTCTGGAAATACCTTGTGGCAAACATTCACCTGCACCTGGCTGCATTATAATTTTATATATTCCGGCCAATATCCTCTCTCTCCCTCTCTTTCAAGCAGTTGCCCAACCTCGCTCACGCTTTTGTCCTGAGTGACGTCACCTCACTTTCTCGGAATGAACCGGTTCGGCTCGAAAATCATTGTACAATTATTCTGATTATGTATATTTCCTCCACAAATTGGTAAACACTAGTTGGTTTATTCCACTCTTATTATGCGTCATTATTTGCTATCCAATTGCGCGAGACGTGATTGCCAATTCAATTAAGAAGTTCAATTATTAGCATTACCAATTTGATGAGAGGTGCTGAAAACGTGGACAATTCGTGCCTGCAGCGTGGCTGGAAGATGCCAAGGAAAATTCCACAAAGTTGACTTGAGGAAATAAAAATAGGATCGAATTTATTAGCTGAAATAATTACAAAAATATTTTTTTCTAATAATTAGTACAACTTTGTCTAATGAATTAAAATTCATTTTGTTTATTTTTAATTAATAATTAAATGAATTTCAATTAGTTGATTTGTAGAAACGACACATCATGCGCTTGCCCTGATAACCTCACCACTTTTGAATTCGCTCAAACGACTCAAACCACACTGTTTATTTTGCCAGTCTGAGTTTTTCTTATCAGCGCCGGGGAGAAAAGAGACTCAATTTCAAGGGCACCAAACTGCGAGATAGAAATTGAGAAAGAGAAAAAATATCACCGCAGTCATCACACCTTATCTTGCAAATCAATCAGCGAAATTTGGTTCGGATTAAGTTACAATTCGATCCGCCATGTGGAAAACCAATCGCGTCTTGATTCATTCAAGCAACTTTGACCTAGATAATTAATTGACCGTGCAAACAATGCCTTCAGAATGCACTTAAGTGAACAAAAGTGCATTCAGCGTTCAAATTGCTTTTCAACGCTAATCTTTTTTTTAATATTGAATCCAAGTTAAAATTTGGTGCGGTTTTTTTAATACTTGATTCCTGAAGGATTCATTGTTTATTTAAAATAATAATAATAATAATTTTCTCCAAATGAAATTTTATGTAAATGTCCATGAAAGGTCAAGGCTGCGTCGTCATTGAAAGCAGCACGCTTCTTTGTGTCACTCGTCGGCGCAGGCAAGTTTGTTTTGCGCGAAAATCCGTGTCCTCCACGCAAGTTTCTTGTGCGTCACGCGGGCGCCAAAATAACCTACCCGCCGCCAATGGGAGAATATACGCAATTCACTTTTATCTCGCAGTGTAAAAAGCCGCTGTTTGCCTTTTGCAATAAAATGTTCGGCCGGTCGAGGAGTGCAATGCCGGTTGCATAACCGAGTGCACCGTGAGCGCCGAGCGATGCGAGTCAGCTGGCCCGTCCGAAAATAGCGAGCAGGGGTGGAAAAACTGGCTTGGCACCCAATCGATCCGCTCAAGCCCAGACCGAGTGACCCCTTTCTTGCAGCAGCAAATCGCTTATAATAAAATTTTAGCTTCATAGAGCGACTCATCCGATTCCAATTCAAATTTATTACTCCGGCAATAAAATTTAAAATTTTTTTTTAATCTTTTGGAAAAATTTATTATAAGAAAAACATAAAATGTCAACAAAATAAATGAATAAAAAAATTATTTTTTAATTTTTATCAATTGCAATTTTTCTAAACAAACCGTTTTCCCCCAGTCTTGGGATGCCTTCTTCCGAAACTCGTCATCCGGAGCTGGACCTGGCCAGGCTTACCAAGCCCCACCATCATTGGCCCTGCCAGGTCGCAACGAGACCGCCCTGACATCGCTGGCACCCTTCTTTGGCGGCGGTGCTGCCCTTGGAGGTCAAGTTGACGACAAGGTCATAGACGACCACCTGGCCGTGCAAGCCATCATCCGCTCGTATCAGGTAACGCTTCTGTGCTTACGAGAGAGTCAAAGGCGGCCCATGCTCTAAACAGACACATCATCAAGAGATGCAACGCAATTTCTGACTTTGTGTCTTTTACATTCTTGTTGTGCCTTTTGATGTTCTCTAACAAAATTTTCGTTAGATTTAGTAAAAGTAATAAAATGGCACACTTTTTTGTCGTCTAGAAGTCTAGATTCAGGACAACAACCCATCACCTCGTCCAGATTTTACTCTCGATTTTAATTTTTGCATTAGTAGATGTAGCGAAATTATAGTTAACAAGATATATGAAAAATTGAAAAGTGACTAAACATAAACTAATCTCATAAAAAAAAACGCCTGCATGAGCTTAAAAAATGATTTCACACTAAAATTCTGTATTCATTGCCCATGACGGCTTGTAGAACATTTTGTGTATGTGTGTTTTGTGTAGAATTCATTTTTTTTTTTAATAATTTAAATTTCCATCCCAAGTAGTTCCGAAAATCTGGTTGTTTTTCTTGTTTTTTCTTATAAAAAGGAAGCTTCTGACTAGACGATTACACTGCTACACTTTAACACCCACAAAATTTACCCATCATAATCTTTTTTTGCCATTTTTACAACACTATCCAAAAATCGGTGCCCTTTGTTCGCAAATCACCATTATTCCACTCGGAGCTGTAGTTTGCACTTAATTATTTTGGTTCATCAGTTCCATATATGTAAAAAAGCTAAGTTCACAATCAACGCCAAGACCTTTTTATTAATTTTCGTCTCACAAAAATACGTTAAAAAAATTAATCTAGGGCCGATTCAGGGAATGTAAATAAAGAAACTCTTTTAGTTTTGGTTTATTTGACCCAACAGGCCCGAGGGCACCACGTAGCTGCGGTGGACCCTCTTGGTTTAAAATACGCAGACCTGCATGCTGCCTTCAGCGACCGAAAAGGCGCGCCCCCGCCCGAGCTTGTAGTCCGAAACTACATGCTCGGCAAAGGTTCAACACTGGGTAAGAAGACAAAGCGTCCATTTACTTTAATTTGTTCCTTATTTTTGCCCACTCACTGCAATGTACCTCTAATCATGCTATGGGGTGACTTTAACTAAGCGAATGTCCGTTTGCGCAAGGTCGTTGATTTTAATTTCTCTTTGCTAATCGCAAGGTAAGCCAGTGTACTCGTGTACATTACGTTCCATCTTTTAACGACCCCAGGTCCATTATCATGCGAGTCCAGTTTCAATCCCACCCAAAACAGGATTTATCTCTCCGCAAGGCCAAGTTGGAATCCACCCTGTGGGGCTTTGGTTGCATGTGGCTCTCACCATAGATTTGGAAGTAGTTTGGGATAATTATGCACTATTGGGCTTTTTTAGATCTTGTTAGAACAGCACAAATTTCGCACTTTTTTTATACTTTAATTTATTCTAAATATAAACTTCGAAGTTCACTTGTTCAAAGGCGGCATGAAAGGTCGTACTTTCTGAGGTGTATGGGTTGTTCTGATGTGACAAAGTCGACAAGGCATGGCCGCGAGAAAATGCATTCTGAATAAAGTCGACTTTTGAGATGAAAAAAAAATACGTTGCTGTGGTTTCTCCTACAGATTCGTGGTCATCATATCGCTGAACTTGATCCTTTGGGCATCTCATCAGCAGATTTAGATGACAGAATCCCGCCAGAATTACTCTATAATCATTATTCCTTCGGTAAGATTTGCACACTCACTCAACTAAGATCTCTCATAAATTTCCACTTCTCTCTTTATTTTTTCATTTGTTTCATCTTTTCTTTTCTAAACGCTTGGTTCAATTTTGCCGTTCATAAACTCAAAGCACTACTGCACCGCTGGCTTCTGCGCACTACACACACTCTGCGGCTCAAAATTCAACCAAGACAAGCAAAAACCACTCTTGAAAAGTTCATTTACCAATTGGCCATTATAAATATGATTGGATTTTTTTTTCAAATTTATTTTATTTTAAGCATGATTAAAGGGATAGCATGTTGACTTTAATTTTTTATTTTATTTATAAAACAGATTTTTTATCATAATAATAATGAGGCAAGCTTGAGCCACACGTGGAAATTCATGGTGGGCATGAGTAGAAAAACTACAGCTTATCTCATTTGACCAAGATACAGTTTATGTCAGCATGAATCAATTGTTTTGTAGACAAGCTACCCGCCAGCACAAGTTATTCAGACCTGGAGCGGAAAGTTGCAGCTCTAATGACGCGTATGTAATTAAATCAAACATGTGTACGAGATAAACAAAAAAAATCATCAAAAAAGTTCGCCGCACCAATTTTATTCTCTCCCAGCACACTTCCCCAATCTAAGTTTGATTTGCACACTGTTATTTTGATCAAATGATACTACTGAACTGGATGACCACTTTGTTTGCATGATGGACTTTTTGCTAATTTTTTCCACTTTTATTTTCGCTTTCTGATTTATTTTTGAATAAATAATTTTCCTTGGTTTGGTGATCTGAGGTAAGGTTGCATTTTGCCGCGCACTTCGCAAAGTAACATCGTATTATTGGTTCGTACTTTAATCAATGTGCTTGGAAAGGTTAAGATTAATTTTTTTTAACTATCTCAAATAATTATTCGGATACCTTTTGTTGCATTTTTTTTTATTGATTGGTTCCATTTTCCTGAATGGTATCCTTTCTTTCTACTTTCTAGCAGGGGAGATTTTTGCATAAAACTGACATTTCTCTATTTTCCTGCAGAGGAGAAGGACATGGAGCGCGTCTTTAAACTTCCGTCAACAACATACATTGGTGGCAAGGACAAGGCTCTACCCCTGAAGGAAATCCTGCGCCGCCTGGAAACGGCCTACTGCAGACACATTGGCGTGGAGTTCATGTTCATCAACTCTCTGGAGCAGTGCAACTGGATCAGACAAAAGTTTGAAACTCCAGGCATCATGGAGATGGACAGTGACCAAAAGCGTCTCATTCTTGCCCGTCTCACCAGAGCTACACAGTAAAATTTAAAACTGAAACAGAAGTAAATAGTTATTTTATCGTTTAAATTGCAGCTTTGAAGCCTTCCTTGCTCGCAAGTGGTCATCTGAGAAACGCTTTGGTCTTGAAGGCTGTGAAATTCTCATCCCTGCTATGAAGCAAATCATTGACAAGTCCACCGAGCTTGGAGTTGAGTCCATTGTGATGGGAATGCCGCACAGAGGTCGTCTGAACGTGCTGGCCAATGTGTGCCGCAAACCACTTGAACAGATCTTCACCCAGTTTGCTGGTCTTGAGGCTGCTGATGATGTTAGTAGATTTAATTTTCATAATTAAATTGAAATTAATGATGCTTAAATATTAACTCTCCGGTAATATTAGGGTTCTGGAGACGTCAAATATCACTTGGGAACATACATTGAGCGTCTCAACAGAGTCACCAACAAGAACATCCGTCTGGCTGTGGTGGCCAATCCCTCTCACTTGGAGGCTTGTGACCCCATTGTCCAGGGCAAGACTAGAGCTGAGCAGTTCTACCGCGGAGACGGCGAAGGCAAGAAGGTCATGTCCATGCTTCTGCACGGAGATGCTGCCTTCTGTGGTCAGGGCATTGTCTTTGAGACCTTCCACTTGTCTGACTTGCCCGACTACACCACTCATGGCACAATCCACATTGTGGTCAACAACCAGATTGGCTTCACCACTGACCCAAGGTTCTCCCGCTCCTCTCCATACTGCACAGGTACAAATAATTAATTTTTTCTTAAATATAAATATGATGAACAAAATATTTCTCAGACGTCGCTAGGGTGGTCAACGCACCCATCTTCCATGTGAACTCTGACGACCCCGAATCAGTGATGCATGTCTGCAATGTTGCGGCCGAATGGCGAAACACTTTCCACAAGGACGTCGTTGTTGATATTGTACTTATATTATTTTTTTATATAAATCTCATATTTATATCAACCTTTTCCTGTTAAGGTTTCTTACAGACGCAATGGCCACAACGAAATCGACGAACCCATGTTTACCCAACCTTTGATGTACCGCAAGATCCGGAACACCAAGCCCGGCCTTCAATTGTATGCCGAGAAGCTGATCAAGGAGGGAACTGTGACCGAAGAAGAAGTTAAGGATGTTGCTGATAAGTATGAGAAGATCTGTGAGGAGGCGTACACAAACGCTCGCAAGGAGACACACATTAAGTACAAGGACTGGCTTGACTCTCCCTGGTCTGGCTTCTTCGAGGGCAAGGACCCTCTCAAGGTTTCACTCACTGGCATCAAGGAGGACACTTTGGTCCACGTTGGCAAGCGTTTCTCGTCGCCACCACCCAATGCTGCCGAATTTGTCATCCACAGGGGTCTTGAGCGCATCCTGAAGGCACGCATGGAGATGGTTGAGGCGCGCACTGTTGATTGGGCCCTTGCCGAGGCCATGGCCTTTGGGTCTCTCCTGAAGGAGGGAATCCACGTCCGCCTCAGTGGCCAGGATGTTGAACGAGGCACTTTCAGGTAATTTAACATCAACTTATTTAAATGTTGGAAAGTGTGAATTGTTCAATACTCATCATAATTTTATTTCTACAGCCATCGTCATCATGTCCTTCACCACCAGAATGTCGACAAGGCCACTTACCGTCCTCTGTGCTTCCTTTATCCCGATCAGGCTCCTTACACTGTTAGCAACAGCTCCCTCTCTGAGTTTGGTGTGCTTGGTAAGTTAATTTGTAGTATTTTCTTTTTAATATCAGTTGTAATTTAAATATTTCCAAATATGGTTGAACAATATTATTTTCCCAGTTAAATAATTATTACTGTTTGCCACAGGATTTGAACTTGGCTACTCGATGACCAACCCCAACGCCCTGGTGTGCTGGGAAGCACAGTTTGGCGACTTCAACAACACCGCCCAGTGCATCATCGACCAGTTCATCTCCTCTGGTCAAGCCAAGTGGGTGCGCCAGTCCGGCCTTGTCATGCTTCTGCCGCACGGCCTTGAGGGAATGGTTGGTTTTTATCATAAAGTATGTGAGCATTTTGCAATATCTGTTTTTATTAGGGCCCTGAACATTCAAGCGCCCGACTGGAGCGATTCCTGCAGATGTCCTCTGATGACCCCGATTACTTCCCACCAGAGAGCGAGGAGTTTGCAGTTCGCCAGCTGCACGACATCAACTGGATTGTGGCCAACTGCTCGTCACCAGCCAACTACTTCCACATCCTCAGGAGGCAGATTGCGCTGCCCTTCCGCAAGCCCTTGGTCATCATGACCCCCAAGTCACTGCTGCGCCATCCAGAGGCCAAGTCCAGCTTCGATGAAATGGTCGAAGGCTCTGAATTCCTGAGGTACAATATTGGCCTTATTTTCTAGCAAATTACAAATAATATTGATTGCAGGGTGATTCCCGAGGGTGGAGCTGCTAGTCAGAACCCTTCCTCTGTGAAAAAGGTGGTCTTCTGCACAGGCAAGGTTTACTATGACCTAAAGAAAGCCCGCGATTCAAAGGACCTTGCCAGTGACATTGCCATCAGCAGAGTCGAACAGGTATGATTTGAATTTTATTAAACCAAAAATAAAATTGTAAGAAAAAATTATATTTTGCAGATTTCTCCATTCCCATTTGATCTTGTGAAGAACGAGTGTGCTAAGTACCCGAACGCAGAGTTGGTCTGGGCTCAGGAGGAGCACAAGAACCAGGGTGCATGGTCGTACGTCCAGCCACGTTTTAACACTGCCCTCAACAACACCCGTAGCCTCAGGTCAGTAACATCTAATTTTGTCGCTCATTTTATCCTCTTGAGATAAATCTCTCGGCAAAATGTTTTAATAAACTTGGGGTCAAATTTTACAAGCAGCGGCAGAGCAAGTAGTGGACGTGGTCAGGCAGGATTTTTTAGCTCTTTGTTTGGCAGCGCCAAGGAAGAGCCAAGCCAAGAAGCACAGACTGCTCTAGATGAGCAAAGCAAATCTAAATTAAGACTGATTAGGTGAGAAGACAATCTCAAGTCTCTTAGGCACTTTTGTTTTGCCCGATTTTGCTCTGTCGCTGTTTATTTCTCATTTAGATTTTTTTCTTGCTTTATTTGTAGGTATTTAATTTTTATTTTAGAAACACGTTTGCTTTCTATTAATATTTCTGACTAACATATAATTTTTGGAAATTTTAGCTATGTGGGCAGACCGACAGCCGCGTCTCCGGCCACTGGCAGCAAAATGCAGCACTACAAGGAACACGCTCAACTGCTCGAGGATACACTCGCCCTTTAAAGTGCTCTGGACGCAAAGCACATTTGTACAGCCCCCACCCTTTGTAAATCAGCACCTATACCCAGACGTTTTTGCACACTCTAAACTTGCCTATTACGAGTACCGAAGAAAGCTCTGTAGTGGCAGGCGCTCCAAAGAAACATCAGAGGAACAAAGGAAGCAAATTTATGCTGCATGTTGTTGAAAATTCGCGTTTATTGGTTGCATAATTGACTCACTAATTCATCGTACTTAGAGATCGCACGCAGCAAGTCGGTATTGCTGGCACTGCCGACCTCAATTCTCAGCAGCACTTGTTTGTCTTTCACAGACTGCTGTTTAGCCTTTCAAATTTAATATTATTTTGTTCTGCAAAAAGACGATTTTTTTGCAAGTCGTTACAACAAGTCTTACAGCATTTTAGTTTTGAAACTTGCAAGTTGTTGAAAAACTGGAAATCATTATTAATTATAACCATTCTACTGTTTGTTGCCTGCAAGCAAGACCCATTTATTTATAAATGACTATTCTCGTTAAGTAGCCTAAGTAGTAATTTATTATTTGCAAAACATAAGTTTTGCCATAAATAGAGAAAATCACATTACCAAGCAGAGAGGTTTTACTTCTAAGCAGTTTCGCATGTCCACGAATACTCTTGATGCGAGCAGTGAGACCACTCGTTTTGCAGGTAGTCAACCAAAGGAGTGGACAGCAGACTGATAAAAAAAATTGTGTTTTCAGACAGCAATGTTGCCTTGTGTTAATTGCTCGAGTTGAAAGAAAATGATGGTTACAGAGATTGTTGTACCTGCAGAGAACAGCCGAATAAATTATTATTTCTGACAAATTAACGACTTTACATTTTCTAAAAAACTTCTTTACTGAAGATAATTAAAAACGAACAATGATCACTTAGATCATGCAAAAAATCTAGAACAGAATTACAGGTAACATTCGTAATATTGATTAAAAAAAAAATACATTTAGTTTTCTTTTAAAATTTATTAACATGAAAACTATTATAATAGCTTCTTAATCCAAAGACGGAGCTTGTCTTCCCTCCTTTATGGCAGAACGATTTCTTTTCTCCAGCAATCTATTCCTGGCAGCTTTTTCTCTCCTGTATAGAATTGAGGAAATATCAATAGTTAAATTCAGTTAATTAAAATTGTATAACAAAATACATACATTCGTCTTATTTTCTCCAGCGACTCTCCTGAGGGTGGAGGTGGTTCAGCTGCAGTTGCTGACCAAATCAGCTTTCTTAGTTTGGAAAGACAGTCTGCCAGATTCAAATGCTGCTGCCGGGTCAAATCAGACTTGATCACCAAAAATCCATCGGCGTTGATTTTATTTTTTTGCTACATAGGAATTAAAAATAAATATTGCTTTATGGAGAAATGTATGTATCCTTACTGTTTCTGCCAATTTTGACCTGATGTCTGCATGTAGCCAGCTGGCCGACTGCAGATGTAACCGGAGGTCCACTTTGGTGTTCACCGTGTTTACATTTTGACCACCAGGCCCGCTACTTCTGCTGTATGTAATGACGAGATCTTCTGCTCAAAAATTACACTTTTTTATTTTAGTTCATGAAATTTTATTTAGAAACTTACTCAAAGGAATATAACCATCAAATTTTTCGCTAGATTCTGGGGCCTAAAACAAAACGAGACAAATTATTTAAAAAAAAAAACTGATCACTTTTGAGTGACTCACCTTTGCAGGGGTCGTGAGGGTCAACTTGCTGTTTGGATAGATATTTTCTAATGCTATTGCACTCTTGTAAGAGGAAGAAATATTTAATTTCACGCCATTAACTGACTTTAAAAGGCAAAAATTTCGAAGACAAAGCTTTGTGAAAAGTGCCATGATTTCTTGTTGTGAAAATTAAGTTCCTCGACCGACCGCTAGGGGGGTGGAAACCACTCTGCAAGTCTGCATTTTCCCCAAACTAATTGTAAGAAGAAAGTTATGTGTTTAATTTTGATCAAAGTACAGCAATTATTCATAAAAAAAACTTAAATTAATTCAATATTATTCCCAAGTTAACTCATTGCTTTATTTGATAAAAATTTACCTACAAAGTATAAAACAGAACTTGATTTAATTTGAAAAAATATTTTCCCGCCAGAGCAGGGCACGCGCCATCTGTTCGCGGATTGATAGGTAGATTAGATAGCTAACATTTTTTGATTGCAGTTGTTGCTAATTTAATTCATCAGTCAATAAAGGAATTGATCATTTCTTCCAATCATTTTTTTTTTATGTAATATTTAAATCATGTTGATAAACCTCAAATAATTACGACATAGGCTAATTTTATTTAAGAAGTTAACATTATTTTTTTACACATTTCAGTTTCTAGCAGGTTTCTAGGATATGAAATTAATCTCAATTAAATCCTGATCTGAAATAATTTTAATTATTTATTGACTATTTTTAAATTGGAAAAATTGGACAAATTTAAGCAATTATTTTTTATCAGATGAAAATTAATTTTGCATTGCAATTAGAGGAAAACATTCCGTATTTAGTCTTCAATCCAGCGTTAACCTCTGAATTTTTTCACTCAACTCGTGGATTTCAAGTTCTAATTCCTCTTGTTTTTTCTGGTATCTTATGCACTTTTCACAGTTGATTGGCTCGGTGTACTTCAGCGCGGGCCCGGTTTTGTCCTCAGTCTCAATCAGCTTCTGCAGAGATTTTTACTTTAAAATATATAGAGAAATGTGTTAGAAATACCTTTCTGTAAACCAGAAAGCAAGCTTCAATGCGAGCCTTCCTAGTTAAAGTTTCAGGCTCGACCTAGAAAAAAATATGAGTAAATTATAAAAAAAAGCAATAAAATATTTGTTGTGCGCTAACCTCAGTAACAGACAAGTCATCAAGCTTGAGCCACTTTTTTGCATCGTCAACCCACTGCAGGACAAAGAAGTGCCCCTGCGTGGTTTTATTTCCAACATGGCATAGAATGCTCACTAATTCGTAACCCACCATGTTCCTATTTTCAGCCAAGCCGATCTTATCGACGCTAATACAGATATTTGTTATAAATTCATGAATTTCAATAATAACTATAAATCACCTTTCCTCTGTTTCAAAGTGTATTAATGGGGTCAGAACAACTGGAACGTCAATTTTCTCACCCTTCTCCATCGCCCTAATGATTTGAACATAGATAAACCTATAATAGATCCAAATTAAATGAATTGATTAGTTAAAATGGAACATCAAAGATTTAAATTTTTACTTGGTTTTGCTGATCATGACGTCTTTAACTGAAGACTTGCAGCATATCTCGTAGGGGCCAGATATGAGGGCTTTTTCTAGAAGCTGACTTACTTCCATGCCCCTCTCAGCAGTAACCAAAGTTACAAATCTTTCAATACTGGTGTCTTTGAGGGGTTTGCTGCAACTTTTATTATTTATTTTAATTTAAAAAAATCAATTTAAAGGTAACAAAAGCTAGCTCACCCAGAACAAAGTGGCAGATACACTTGTACAATCGCGTATAAGCCTGGAGCCTTGGCTTGCTTCAGCAGGGTGACCATTTTCAGGAGAGCTTCGCTGCCGTCGTGTTGATTGTTTTCCTGATATTCCATCGCTTTGTGTAGCTTTCATTTTTTATTCTTCTTGTTGTTGTTCCTAACTTAAAATAAAAAGCTGTGCAATTTGTCCAAGGAACCAATTTCCCTAATGTTAGACAAAAGAATTGTCGAACTTTAGGTGAAATTCGTTGTTGCAATTATTAAATATTCCATTTTCTATAGATATAAATGCACCCTTAACTGCGCACTAGAAGATGACTGGGTAGACAACCTTGGACGGACCTGTTCACGAGTCCATGGCCGCAGCAAGAGCGAAGTCCCTGGCATTACTACGATCAAGCAGCCAGGTCCTCTGACCTGTTGCTTGTCGAACACCACCCATAGCCACTCCAACCGGCAGCATTTGATCAACCACTATACAGAGAATCGCCCTCACATTTCATCTTAGGCATCAAATATTACGTTATTCTCTGAGAGTGCCAGTGCCAATCAAGTGAAATGTCAATCTTGTTAAAAAGGCCTTAATAATCAATATCGTAAATTTAATAATTAGGCTTTTTGTGTACATAATTAGTTTGGTAAAGGACGATTTTTGCGTTTAGTCGGTAATTAATTTGTTTACCGGAGCCTAATTCTGATTTTTTTTTGGCACTTATGAGCCGCATTTTTTATGCTGTTCTGCAGAAAAAATGCACAATTTGAATGTTCTTATGCTCAACAAAATGTAAATTCCTACATAAAAAATAGTAAAAAGTTCAGAGGAGAGGCAACATAATTACCTTTGTTAGCTCAGGAATTAGTTCTCCCTTGTTCTTTGGCGCCTTTTTCTCCTTCCTTGACCTTTGCAGATTGTCAATTTATGCACACTCTGTGAATTATTGTTGCATGGAAATTCAAAAAATGAATTTAAATTTTTTTACACTTCAAAAGATTCTATACATAGAAAATGTTCTGATTTTAAAATTTAAATTCCTACAAAAAAATATAAACAGTACATAAAACAGACAAGATAATTACCTCTTTCAATCAAATCTGCTAAGACGTGATGCCTCTGACTTGAGTTTTAGACTGGAGGATGGAGACTGATGAAATATTTGAGCTCTGCTGGGCTTGGGCCGCCTTATTTCCTCTCTCACCTTGTCTCCCTACAACACAAAAATGACCGTGTTAATGATTGTTACAATTCCTGCATGAAAATTCAGAAAATTCTTTTGGATTTAAATTTCATAATTTATTTAAGAAACATATTAATAAGTGAACCACACGATGGAGAAACTATAAAAATCCTCGAATGCCCATGAATCATAAAATTACCTTGCTGATTGAACAATTCCTGGCGAATTTCGCGCCCGGCGTTACATAAGCCTTGTGAAAACACAACAAAAAAGTCGCGCTCACCTTTGCAGGGGTCGTGAGGGTCAACTTGCTGTTTGGATTGATATTTTCTAATGCTATTGCAATCTTGTAAGAGGAAGAAATATTTAATTTCACGCCATTAACTGACTTTAAAAGGCAAAAATTTCGAAGACAAAGCTTTTTGAAAAGTGCCATGATTTCTTGTTGTGAAAATTAAGTTCCTCGGCCGACCGCTAGGGGGGTGGAAACCGCTCTGCATGTTCCCAAACTAATTGTACGAAGAAAGTTATGTGTTTAATTTTGATCAAAGTACAGCAAATATTCATAAAAAAAACTTAGATTAATTCAATATTATTCCCAAGTTAACTCATTGCTTTATTTGATAAAAATTTACCTACAAAGTACAAAACAGAACTTGATTTAATTTGGAAAATTATTTTCCCGCCAGAGCAGGGCATGCGCCATCTGTGCGCGGATTCCAGAATTGGCGAAATTAACCCTTGATAACAATGGAAGCTTTCATCAAGGGATTTTGATGGTAAAAGAAATTTCAAGCGCTAATTCGGCCGATCGCCCGCCTTCAATTAACTTGGAAGGGCATTTCGATGCAGCAGCTTTTCCCGAGATTACACCTGCGGCTCCACTAACTCTCGGATGACTCAAAATTACGACTAAAATAGTAGGTTAGCCGCGAGCGAAGGGCATTGTGCAGGGGAGCTGCGGTGGAACTGCTACGATGATGATGATGACTTGGACCAATTTCGGAATTTTCTAACAATTTATCTTTTGGTAGAATAATTTGAAAGGAAGCTGAACCAATTATTGCTAAAATTTAAACTCCATCAGATTGGGTGTGGAGAGTGGAATCGGCGTTTGTGGGAGACATGGGGTCACTACGGTGCCCTTTGTGCTGCAACAAGGAATTCCCGAACCGGCGTTCACTGCAGCTGCACCTGCTGGACACCTTGGAGCTGCTCAAGTGTCCACTGTGCAGCAAAAGCTACCGCAGCATCATTGGCCTGGTGCAGCACCTGAGCCTCTCGAGCTGCTCGGTGGAGACCGGCGTCAACTTCGACGAGCACTTTGTCACCTACGTCGACTGTTCCTTCATGAAGAAGGCCAAGCAGCAGGAGCAGGCCATGGCTGTATCAGCCGACCAGGCCAGAGCGGCCAATGCTCAGTCCATCGAGGAGAAAGTTTGCGAAAATATGAGAAAAATTCACGTAATTTTTTAGTTAAAGCTTTTTTAAAAAAAAATCAAGCAATTTTAATTTTTAGGGCTCTGAAGATGAACAGGCAAGGGGGATCTCAAAAAGTGAAATCGTTGTGCCTGACCAGAATCCACAGAACTTGCTGATTCAGTGCAGCGAAACCAACGAGATCATCTGCATTAACATAGAAGAAGGTTGATTTTACTATTTATTTTTTCAAATTAACCTATTAAAATGATTGATGCACGAACAAAATTATAAGAAAATAATTTGTTCAAGCCAAAAATCTTTTTCTTATTAAGAATTGCTTTAACTTTATACATTAAATGCAAAATTCAATGGTTTAAATCATTAGTGTGCAATTCCTAAATAAAATTAAAATGTAATATGAGATGTTAAGCTTTGATATTTTTTATTTTTCTTTTTAGCAAATATTCAAAACTCTGGAGCTTTCGGGGTTCTAGATGAGAAAATGATCCAGAAGAGTTTGATGACTGGCCCTGCTGGCAACCAAAAATTATCGAATCAAATGGACACTTCTTCTAAAACAGTAAATCAATCTAAACTTCCAATTTTCACTAATAAATCATATTGATTCAGGTTGTCGTGCCTCCACGCAAGAGCTGATCCACGGTTGTGCACTGATTTTTCTGTCAAAATCGAGTCTCTCGTCCAGGTTCGGGATAAGGTTAGAGGCCTTGTAACAGCTAGATACCAAAAATTGAAAAAAAGATATATCTAAACTGCGGAATCGCCCTCCGCCTCCTGTCATGGTTCAGTGCAACACGAATTGAAAGAGAACTCGTCAGTCAGGCATCGCCAGGCCTGCGCTTTGTTGTTAAACGTGTTTTAGGTGCTGTGTTTTTAAGGAAAACAAGATGTCACTCGTGTGTTCTTTCTTTTGTGTTTGATTTCGTAGATTCTGCGCGTCAGTAATGCATAATTATCATTATATACCGATATGTATGAGTAAGAAGCGAAAATACCATTATTTATTGTACAAAGCGGTTTGTCAGATGCGAAAGATAAAACACAGTGAATTTTAAATATGTGCTCCTTTTGATTTATAAAAAAGCCAAGTTTAAAATAGTTCTAATCATTCTTACATATTTTATTAATATTAAGGTAACACTTTTCGCATCTCCCTGCGAAGATCACAACAGATTTTAGTCTGGAAATGCGAGTTTGTTAAAATTAATCAAAATACAAAAATCATCAGATGGCGACGCCACAGCCTAAGCAAGTTCAAGACTTGCAATGGGAGATTACATAAAAACTCACTTAATGGCATCCATAAAAATTTAAGAAAAATAGGACTGCTGAGCAGGCTGCCTTTGTTGCATCATAAATAAGGAACGTTATTGCTTCCAACCTCGAGACAGATTGCGTCCAAGGCCATTGTGAGCATAAGATTGAAAAAATGGCATTGATAATGGCTGCTGATCAATCTGTGCGTGACAAAATTTACAGAAAATAAAATCAGCTCAAGGATAAAAATGTTAAAGTAAAAATGAAACATTCCCTAGACATTTAAGAGATTCGTCCTCCGATATTGACATAAATAACAACCTCAAACCTTGGTTTAAATTTTTCCTTTAAAGAAACCTGCATTGTAGCTTACGACTTATTAATTTTTCATACCCCTAAAAACTAATTGAATTTATGAATTCAGCGAGTAATAGGAAAATTAACTTGTAATAAGTTTAAACTTTGGCCAAGTAAATAATACTCTCAGTACCAAGACTATTAAGTTAAACCCAGTTTTGAGGTTCTCTTAACATCCACAATCACAAGGTTAATAATTTGATGTAAAAGTTCTTAACTAGGATGGACTGACAGTGAGGAAGATCTATGTTCAAAGTACACTAGTTAACTCTAACTATAAATCTGCAGCACAATACATTCATTCGAAGAAACCGTCTTCCGAGTTGTTGTCCTCTTCTCCGGCAGGGACGATGACAGTGCCAGGCTTCTTTGGCAACGGTCTATTAGCAAAGCCGTGCTTCACCAACTCTACAGCAACGTCCACATCCTTATTTAACAATAATTTTATAAAAAATAAAATATTTAATAGGAAAAAAATACCTCTGGACCACTTGTGTCAACTAACACTACTTGAGGAATTGGACTCGAGGCTCTCTCCTTTGGTTGCTCTCTGAACCCTTGGACTTTGGCCATGACAACCTTCCATCGGGACGCATAAGTCAATTCGGCAAAAAGATCTGTTGCCTCCTCTGTCCAGACTCCACCACTATTTAAATATCCATACAATAAATTGGACAATGTAAAAAATTTAAAGCACTCACTTGGGAACAATTCCAGCCAGAGTACACTCAATGGCCTGGTGCCGGAGTCTCAGGAATTGACTGTTAAGGTTGTAAACGTCGCTTTGCACTTTGGTCTCGTCGTCACCGTAGTCGACAAAGAAAACGTCAAGCTTGCTTTGTAGAGGGTCGTAGTCATCAACGACTACGTCTTTCACGAACGCTCGGTACCACTTGCCATCTACAGAGAACTGTGCAGCTGCCAATGCTCCAACGTCCATGGCCTGATTAGATCAATTCAAATTAAACAAAGTTACATCTAACTAAGTGCTCTTATTTCTGTAGGTTTAATTTGAAGATTTTTTCTTTATAAAATAGTAAAAATTTCAACCTCTTTTGGCTTGTAGACTTCCAAGTTTTCTTCCTGATTGTAGAACTCAGTCATTTTGTCCACAAGCTTGTCCAACTCAACACTGGCAGGTCCAACTTTCTGTATCCAAAATCTTCCAGGGTCTTTAGCTGCAGAAACGAAGACTTCCAAAAATCCATTCATTGTCGTGGCATTGAGCTTTTCCACTGGACGAGTGCTTCCAGTGACAGAGGTATCCTTAAAAATTCAATTTAATATTTCAAATAAATTTTTACGTTGTTTAATACTTTATAAGGACTGTTGGTTATGCAAAACTGTCTGGCAGGCGAGCGGGGAGACCTAACTCTTTGCAGGATGCCCTCCCGAAGCTCCCTATCTTCCTCCACCTTTTCCTCAACCAGAGACTTTGCCAAACTGATTTGACGACAAGTGCCATGAAAACTAACTACCACATCATCAGCTAAGTTAAAATTGGAATTAATAAAAAATTAAAAAATATATCAGCGTAAAAATACTTTTGGACCCTTTCTCGTCTATCTTAATTTTAGCTCCAGAAATTTGCTGCATGTTCAGAAGGGTGGCATTTTCTCTGCCGAGGATTCTCCCCAAGGCCATCTTAGATTCAGATTAACTTTTTTTTAATCAATTTTGCATTTACAAATTATATACCTTTGGAACGATTATCTCGATATTTCTGAGGTCTGGCTGGCAAGCTAGAAATTCACTAATGACAGTCTCTGCCTCTGCAACTCTATCAGCCTTTCCTTGGATAGTGTAGATGACAAATCGACCGTCTTTGCCTGATAAAGAGAAATTTTAACTTAATTAAAATAAAACTTGGGCGCTTTTTTACTTTCTGTCTTGTAAGAAATTATAGTTTTGGTCCTGGTTTCCAAATCCCTGAGGTTCGATCCTGCTCGGCCGATGAACACGGCCACCTTTTCCTCGGGAATGAACACGTCGATCACATCTTTGTTCCTCCGCACTCTTGATCCCTGAACGTAGCCGATGGCCGGAAGTCTGTCTTCGTCCTGTAAAAGTTCAAATTCAAATTAAATTATTTTCAAGATAAATTTTTTTTTAATCCAATATTTATACCTCTCTGAGCAAAAAGTAAAGGGCGAGCGCCCCTGCCCCGACGAGGGAAGCACCAAGGGCGATTCCAGCAGCAGTGACTGGTTTCATCATTTTTTTTCTGCCTTATCCTTATTCAAACAAAAATGACGAGGGGTCCAGTTCACAATGCAGTTAAGGGTCACATTGCAGTTTGTCTCTTATGCAGCGGTCTCGAGTTCCTCGCTGGCTTGCCTTGACGTAATTACTGAAATTACTGTCCCTCAGCGCAAGTTCGAATGTCACACGGCCGCCATGCGTATTATTTTTGTCTTTAGTTACAAATCGAGCCATCGTGGCGCTCGAGCCGCTTGAAGAAAAAAAATACTGAAAATAGTAAACAACACTGGAACACCTGCCGAATCAGCTAAAGTCGCAGGCAAGAGAGGCGGATTTTTTTGTTTAATCAACATATTATTTTGTTCTTCGTGGTCTCCGGAAGTTGAAATCAATTTAGTCTTCATTATTGCACGTAAGAAAAGGTAAATTGTTACGTGTGATCTGGTGTATGCAATTTATTGTAAAATTACATACATAAATTTAAATTGTGGTGTTGCACGAAATTTCATAACATTTGATTTATTTTGAAAACTGTAAATTAATACATTAATGCAAATTGTTTTATTACTCAAGTTTGAATAATCAACAATTATTTACTGTAGAAATATGGAATCCGCCAACAATACGACGCTGGAGAGTCTAAGACGAAAAAGAAAACACACGGACACAGAATCTCAGGAAAATCCTCATGAAAATGGTGAATGTGAGGTTGTTGATCTGGAAAATGACCAACCCAAAGACCACAAGATACCAAAGGAGTCAGATACTGCAGAAATCACCATCAATGACCTGGACAAAAATGATAACAAAAGTGACAAATTTGAAGAGGATGTAGTTTTTCTTGCCTTGAAGGAACTGACACAGAAAAGTCAGGCAACCGAGGATGGCGACAGTTGTGAAGAAGTTGTGGTATATTTAATTGTGGACTTTGTCTTTTGGGGTTATAATAATGTATCAATTTTATATAAGATCGAAAAGGAGAAGGAGTCTGAAGAGATCATTTTTGTGGAGGAAGTTGACAAAGGAAAACATCAGATTGAGGTCATTGAAATTTTGGATGATACTCCGCTAGAAAAAAGGTACAATGATGATTCAAGTTAAGAAAATTTATTTGATTAACCAATTTTTCCCAATGTGGAAATTAGAAGTCATAAGTAAAGAATTGGTTTGGTTTAATGAGAGTTTATTTAGTTCGAAAACTAATACAATTAGATACATTTTATAGAAAATTCAAATCACGTGTAAGAATAACTATAAAAACATACATTAATTGATGAAAGTAATGTCTTTGAATTTTTCCCCAAATAATACAGTTTCATTTTCCTTCTTTTTTTCACATATCTATTTAATATTTTGCGCTTTTTCCAGAATTGCTGTGAACCAAACGATACCACACGAGCCTCCAGTTTCTAGAGATAACCAAAACAGACGCCACTTCCTGCACCCCCAGGAGGCGGCTACTGACATTGTTGACCTTCTGCTCAGTCGTGGCCACCAGCGAGCCATCCGTGATGGTTGGGCCCCCGTCACTCCAACAGAGCACAACATTTTCCTGCAAGTGAAGATCTCTTGGCTTGGCGATTTGATGGCGCGTCGCAGGAGGGACAACGAGGACAGGCAGGACTACTGTTGGAGGGTCAGGGCTTTCACGAAGCGCGCCTTTCTCCAGCTGGCCAGGCAGATGAGCCACGAGAGTGTCCTGGCCTGGGCCATCATTGAAAACAACAAAGAGCACATTGCCAAGTTCCAGGAGGAGCAGAGGAGCAGGCAGTTGCGGTCACTGACACCAGCTAGTACGGCTCCTAAACTGATTGTGCCAGGTTGGGGATAAATTAATTATTTATTATTATTAATTTGAATTAAATTTCTTTAGGCAAGGATGATCCAGAGAAGCAAACAGCTGCTGCAAGTTCAGAGAATAAAGACACCGAGGTCAAGACTGAGGAAACAGTTCCTAAGGTGGTGAGTGTTTAGGCTTTGCATGGAAATTAATAAACATCTGAATCCAAATGGATTATTTAACTGTAATTTTTAACAGAAGGAGGAGCTGTAATGGCGAAACTGATCTGAAATTCGCTCATCAAACAAACGTTGTTTACACAAATCTACTTAAATTTAAGTAAACAGTTCGTCAATTTAATGACAAGCTTACAAAGAGCAAACACCGACAGGATCAAAGCAAGACTTTAATGTGTTCAAATCAAGCTATTTTATAATGAAAACAAAAATGAAATTTATGATTGATAATAAAATTTCTGACTAAAAAATTTGTTTGCTTCATAACTTTACTTATAAATGATTCACCTAACACAAAGTGTAATGAGAGCAAGAGTGACAGACAAAATGAAAACTATGTAACTTAAATTGAAATAATTGTAGCTATTTTAAGCATTTTAATTATATGAGGATTTAAAACCCAAAGAAACCACTCGATACAAATTTAATTTTAATTCTACCTGGTTATGCAATGTTCTTGCCATAGGCGTCGAGCAGGTTGCATACTTTTTCTCCTAGGTGCTACCAGGGCGCTACTAAAATTCATAATCTTTTTTAAATTCATTCAAAACTATATTAACGGATGCATAATGTATAATGAATTTTGAACTAAACTTTTTGTGAGAAGCGCTAGTTTTTTAATAGTGTTCATTTAGCTCGGCGCCCTCGGCGGCCGCGTCGCTTGATGCCTGGCGTTTTAGCATTATCTGCTTGATAGTTGTAATACCCCTCTCTTCACACTTTTTTAAATTGTTCTTTCCATTATCATCATATGAAAAAAAAAATAAATAAAATGAATTAAAACTTCTTTATAAATTTTTTAAAATTGAAAATTACAATATTTTCAAAATATAAAACGTTTAAATAATAATAAAAAACAAACATTATTAGCTAAAAATATGTAACAAAAACAAGAGCTGGAAAATAACAATAAAATTTAAACAACTATTTCCACCCCAACAGCAGCAATTAATGGCTCCGTCTGACTATACTTGCACAAGAATTCACACACCTATAGCTGCTTTAACGACTGCAATAAGACGTGGTGTTCACCCCATTCATTCGCACATAAACCCTGTATTCAAACAGCAGCCGAACAAACGATCGCTCATATGTAGTACATATAGTGTGGGAAGTAGTTGAGCAGAAATCGCTGGCGTTAAAGCAGCAGCAGCGCATAGTATCGACGGCGATGGTGCGCGGCGGCCGGGGCAGAGTTCGCGCACCAAAAACCAGATGCCCCTGTGGTAGTTTTCCGGGGGTAGGTTTAGAGGTGGATGGGAGCGCGAGCGGGTGCGAGCAAGTGCAGCTATATATTCGCGCACTCAGTGATCGTTTAAGGGGTGCCCGAGAAGGAAGGGTTGCTTGCAAAAGTGTGTCACCCGTCGCGCCAGCCAGCCAGCCATTTACACCCATACAGTCCTTTCAGCGAGGTGTGAACAGCAGCGCCGAGTGCATGTCCGAGCCTCGTCTGACTGTCCGAGCCACCGACCATGAGTCCGAGCTCGCGAGTGCCCGAGTGCAGTGTTGCTGAACATTTGTTGCACGCTGCTGCAGCCACCGTGAGACGTGCCAGATAATACATCCCTCGCTTTTGCGTCCGACCTCACGCCACTTTCACTTCATCGCTTCCAGCAGGTGAGTTGAACTTGAATTTCCCGGACGGATTCGTCGCAACTCTTTCGAGATCGGAGTGAAGAGAAGTAGGTCAGCCAGAATCGGGAGAAGCGTTCACCTGGCGCCGTGAATTTCCAAAAAAAAAAAAACTGGCAGGGGAGCGGTCTGACTGAAATAACTTTGGAATTAAAAATTTGTATTTACATTTTATATTCTAAAAACCGAGGCCAAGATGATTGCGATTAATTAAAGTTACTTTTGCAAAAATCAGTAAAAATCGCTATTTTTAACCCCTGAAAAATATAGGCAACTTTCGGATTTTGACATAAAATTATACCTAAGTTTGACCATGCCAAGTTTTACCCAAATGCAACAACCCATTCCAAACACTGGTCAGATTGATTTTCAAATGGCATATATGAATTTTTCAGTGATATAATTTTTTAATTCAATTTTTTTAGGGGTATGATTTGTGCATGTTATTTTTGAATACCTTTTTTTAATGAAAATGCAAATTAAAAATGCGCCGCAAGTTGGCCTGCGTCCAAGGCTATTCGTTAAGCGGCGAGTTTCAGCGCCTTCACAGCCTCAGGGCTCCATGCTGATTATGTATATACTGTGTCGTTTGTTCGGCTTATCTGTGATGGCCGAAAACAATAAAGCGTTCGGAAAATAACACTCGCCGGAGGAGCTTCCTAGCTGATCTTGATTAATGGCCAAGCACGGACGCTTACATTACACGTGGCCCTCCAGAAATTGCCGGGCCGTTAATTCGAATAAATTATAGCTCACTTCTTACTTTTTTTTGTTGTCGAGAAACAAAAACTTTTATTGCGACTAATTTGCTCCAAGCTGTGCAAATTATTACACACTGCGCCCCCCGTGCGGAAGCGGAAGGCAATAAAGTCAAGTATGAAGATAAATTGCTCGCATATATACACAGCAGAGGCAAATATTTCTAAATAAATCCGGCAAAAAAGTAAAATTAGGAAAAATTGGGCTTGTGCGCAGATGTGGTGGGTTTAATTAAAAGTTACCTGCGCGCACACGGATTAAAACGATAACACGCGTTCCCCTTTATTCTCGGCAGCGAGACCTTTATTGAGCAGTTGAGCACACGCTGTAATTGCGCCTCGCTGCTGCTTGGACCAAATTAATGCCGCCGAACGGATCCTGCTGTGTCTCCGCACGACTAAATTTGGCCCTAAAGTTATTATATATTGCAAGGGTCAAATTTATTGCTTCGGCCCGGGTCTTCGGGCAGGTGCTGGAATCGAATTGTCCCTGGCTGGTTTCGGTGAGACGCTTTTCCATCCTACGGTGAGCCTCTGTGAGTGAGTGAGGGCCGTGCTTCTCTATCTGGCAGGCTATTGATTTCGTGTGCCGCCGCTAAGAAGGGCGGTTCAGCCAGCGCACCGACCCACGGCAGCGAGAGTGCATCCATTAATGCAATGGCCATTCAATTTGCCAGTCGAGCGAAATACAACATTTTTTTATTTATATATATACGTCGCGGCGGACACACGCAGGGCCGCAAAATTACACCCGGGCTCATTCATGTGCGGCTCACGCCATTTTTCGGTACATTTGGAAGCAGCCTGCGAACTCTCCAATTATTTAAATTACACCAGCGAGCAGCGGAATTCGGCGCCTTCTCTTTCTCTCGCTCTCGCAAAGGGACGCGCCCAGAGTTTTAATCGGGAAATGAGATTTGCTAGCTCGCAAAGTACATGCAGTAATTGTAGCGCTAGGTCAAATTAAATTGTGAGAATTTACTGCTTTAATTCCTTTGAAGTAATCAGATTTCAATGAAAATGCAAAAAAAAAACATTTCACAAATTTTTTTTTATTCTTTGCACAACTGTCAAACTTTCAAATTGATGTGAATTAAAAAGTTTATGATTTTTTTGCTGCCCCAAATTTATAAAAAAATTCCTCAACCCTTTGTATCAAAGCTTTTTATTAGGTACAGCCAAAGATAAAAAAGAATTTTAGAAGCAATTTGTAAATTAGAAATATTCATAAAAAAAATATGGCTTCAGAATTTCCAGTTTAATTTAAGTTTTTGGGGACACTTTTAAACAGAGAGTGTAAGTGATTTATCGAATTGTTGATTTTAATTTAAAAGAATCGCGCAAAATATTCACCGGAATTCTAAATTTGAGGGAAATGAAAAATTTTATGTGACTTATTCAAAAATTGAAACGGACTATTCTTTTTTGCTTTATCAGGAAGGCCTAAAACATTCAACAAAATTAAAATAATTACGTAATCATGCATCTACCATAACATAATTATTCTGCAAACGTAAAACAAGAAACATTTTGAATTGAATTTTACAATATCATGTCAAATTTAATTGCCAACGTCGTGGAATTATCAGTTTTGATCCTTTGAAAATATCCCTGCCAGGCATTATTTTGGTCAGTGACGAAATTTTATTTATGCATGGCGAGCGCGGCATTGATCGGTGATGATTATTATTGTTATTATTGGTGAATGGTTTTATTGATTTTCTGGCATTTGAGCGACACGTTAGTTTCTTTCGGTGCTGCAACCATCGCGATAGCGCCCAAGAGAGGAAATGGAAAAACGAGAGCACTCATATTGCGTTGTAAAAACTAATCATTTTCGCTCTTTAGCACCCCGAACGAACAACCTCTCACTCCATTCTTCGTCTTTGCATGGTAATTTTCCAATGTGTATGCACAAAAATAAACCAATTTTCTGTCATCCACGGATCAATAAGGAAAAAGCCCCCGACCGACTCGGAACGCAAAAAGGGCTGAAGTGATGTTTCCGGTCTGTATGTTTTTTATTCTCTTTTTGCTGATTGCTGCGAGCAAGATAAAATATTTATACAAGCGGCGGCGTTTCCTTTTTCTTCCTCCTCAAACAGGAATACAAGATTTCTCCTTTCGCTCGAGTAAAAAATCGCGATGTGTACGCAGCCAAGTGCAGGGTAAAAACTTTGTAGTAATAAACTGCTTTCAATGTGCCCTTCCGTCACATATCGAGATATTGGTGTTCGTTCGAGTATGAAATCCCACCATATTTCTACCCAGCACAGTTTTTTTCTCCAGATAACTGTTCGATTCGTTCGCCTTCACCCTGAAAGCTTAAGGCGTTTTGCGCGTGTATCGGGGACGATCTTCCATTCAGAATAAAATAACAAGAATCTGGTTCACATAGTGTAAGCGGAATTGGTACCAAATGACATCAAAAGGACTGATAAAGCCCCGTTAAAAGTTTCAATCACTTGGTGAAATTTGTAATATATTTTAATCATGTACTTAACCTCATTGTGATCAGTAGTTTATGTTTGTCTTAATTGGTCTTGGAGTAATCAACTAGAAGCTAGAAGTACCATTTAATTCCTTCTGTATATTACTTCTTGCACAAGGTACAAGAAAAGAATATTTAAAATTTAATTTATATTACGTTTATGGAATTTATTTATTATACTGACTGTACATACTGCCAAATAAAAAACGTAGCGCTATTTGATTGTTACCTTTAAAATGATTGTAACAATATGCAGCGCCAGAAAAGGTATATTATATTAAACTTAAATACTTATTGCACTTTATAAATAAATATTATAAATAATACAGTAATAATTAGTAACAATTAAAAAATAAAACAAAAAAATTATATTTTATTTAATTAAATAACAAAAATTATTTAAAAACTTGGAACTATTATTTTGTTAAAAAAACAATATAATATAATATAAAATGTTTAAACTTTTTTAACATATTTTTCTTTGTAACCATTTACACCATAAATTATAAGACTAAATCAAAATAAACTTTGAAATGAACATTTAAGTTCAAGGGAGTCAAGATGCTCATTAATGTTTCGTTTTTTAAACGAAGTTAGAACAGTCAAATAAATCGCAGTATTCAAATGTGCTCAAATATTTACTTTGACATTATGAATACAATTTAATTTCAAAAAATTATTTTAATTAATTTTCTTATACATAATTATAATTGTATTATCTTCTACTCAGACAATTTGGAAAGCAATAAATACGCCAATAATTTTACAATCGCCAGTGGTGTTTTTATTAAAAACAGAAAGCCATAATTATACTAAATAAGAATTTTTATATTCCATAATATTCTTCATAAGAATTTAGTTAAAGTTAATTCATTTTAAGCAGATCAAGCTGGATAAAAGAAAGCATCTTGTGTGTAGAATTAAAAATAAAATATTGGACAGATAAGATATTTTTCGAATTCCAACTATTTGTCTACCTTCTATAAAGCTTTTACTTAACAAATAAATGACTGCGCAATGCGCTGTTTAGACAGAATTCGTAAACCTTCAGCTGGATAGCATTGCAATAAATTTCAAGTTTGCAAAAGCAATTCAACTGAAAGCCTGTTCGATCCGGTGCAAAATTTGCATGCAGGCAGGCCATCTGCGAATGCACGACGATTCCGCCCTTTGAAGGAGCATCGCATTTTCCGCAATAACAAAGCGCGTATCGAGATTCCTCTTTGATAAGCGCACACACGAGGGAAACAAACGCTACTTGCACGCGAGACCTGAATAAAAGAGCTGCTGATTCACATTGGCCGTGATTTATGTTAACCGGCAGCAGTCATTTCATTTTCTTTGCGCCCGTTTGTGTGTTGTGCGCCTGTACAGCTAGTAAAGGGAGCGTGCAATTATCCAATTATTGCAGCCAAGACGGTGCGGGTGTAATTTCTTCCACGGCACGAAAAGTTAATATTGTCAAACGTGACCAGAATTTCGTTCAGACCGCCGCCGCCGCCGCGCAACTCTGACCCGATTCAATGTGCAGACGTCGTCTATATTTTTGTATTTGCATACTTTGAGTGGAGAGCAAAGAGAAAGAGAGACAGAGAGGCGCAAATTGTCACTCTATTGTGTCGGACACTTCAAAGGTTAGGCGCCTAGACTACTGGTCTTGAGACTTTAAACAGTTTTACAGTGAGACTGCAATTTTAAAGTCATTCATTTGGTGATTTATATCAATTTTAAATTAA